TTTTTTTTCTGTTAGATCACAAATTAATCAAGAAAAGAAAAAAAAGAAGAAGATCACAATAGATTTATTTGAATACACATACATATAGATTACAAAAAGTTTCTATGTATATATTTCTCTCTTTCCATTTATAATGAATATCTATCAATATCTTGCATTTCAAATTTAATAATTGATTTAAGTAAAAAATCACTTGTAACATATTTGATATTTGACAGATTCGATTGAAGATATTTTTCTTTAATTTTAGTTAAATTTTTTTCATTTGCATCACATAAAACAGTTAAGATTTCAACTGTAATATTATGATCATAAATTTGTGCACCAGTTAATTCAATTAATTCCATTAATTCATTACGATTTATTGAACCTTGACATTGACGACATTCAATAGCAAATCCATAATTTGATTTAAATAAATATTGATTATTATTTGAATAATCTTGTATAGATAAACGTAATGTTGTATGTGAATCACTTAAGATTTCATATGAATGTTCATCAAGAAATTTATTTGCATTTATACAATCATTTATCCAACGTGCAGATATTATAAATATATGACGACGTACAGCTGCTTGAACAATTTTTTTTGTTATAGTACAATGTAATGATTTTTCACTATCATCAACAAGTAAATGTGTTGTTGAATCATTAACAACTAAATTTGATGATAATTGTACTTGAGGAAATTTACGAAGAAATATGAGAATATTTGCCTAGAAAGAAAATATTTCAATTATGATAAATTATGTTAGGTTTGTTTTACCCATTGTTCATCAAGAAGAGTTGTTGTAGCAATAACCATCTGAAATAGATAGAGAATTGAATATAAAAAAACAAGGTGAAACAAAATTACTTTATCAGCTGGAATTGAAGATTGATTGAGTGATGCAGTTAATGCAATTTGTGAATCATGTTTACGTTTTTTCGTTGAAGGTTCATGCGAGGGTGTATCAGTCTTATTATGCTAAAAAGAACTTTATTATCATCAAATAGGATATCACTTCATATTCAACTTACATTTACATCCATTTTTTGTACATCAGTTTCTTCTATAATATAATATTTCATTTCAATAAAAATAATTCGTTTTTTTACCTTCAGTATGATTTATACTATCATTTGTAGTACTTATATCCATACTAGTTTGGAGTGTTCCATTTAAAAATTCGCGTGTATGTCTATAAAAAATTTTATCAAAAAATAAAATTATTCATAAAAAACAAAACTAACCGTCTGCAATATGTTTCAGCTTGTCGATGAACTCGACTTTTACATGTAGGAAGTGAACAGAGAAAACGTATTCTTCCTGATGCATCTCGAAATGAACGTTTTGTTCCTGTACTTTCTGGAACCTAATAACGAAAACATCAATTACAGAAAAAAGAAAAAGAAAATTATTGTATTATACTTTTTCTGGTGATTCATATTCTTCTGAATGATTTCCATTTGTACCATTTTCATCTTTTCCTGTTGAATTATTATTTGAAAATGGTGAACGAAAACGTTCTTTTTTATGATTAGATGCTGCTGGTGGTGCCGAATAACGTTTTTGATTTGTACGAGGTTTTTTACTTTTATCTACATTTGGTTCAGTTGGTGGTTCTTTTAAATCCTTTAAATCAGTATTTGCATGACTAAAACAATGTATACGAAATGAATCAATATTTTTGATTAATATGAAAATTATCGAATAATTACGTTATACAAAATATATCCGTTTGACGTTTAAGCATATTTGTACATGTTGCATTCGTACAGAGGTATCGACGACGACCTGTACTATCACGAAAAGTACGTGCACCAGTTGCTTCATCTATTTCTATGGTACGATTTGCCTAAAATAATTCATGTATGAATATATATTTTTCTCATCTGAACATCAAAATCAAACCTTCGCTTTTTGTCTAGATGAAAGTGGTAATGTAGCATTACCATTATTATCTGCATCAGCATCAGCATCAATAGAATCGTTTTGACTCATTGAATCTAAAGAAGAATATGCTTTATTTTGGGAACAAATCATTTTTTACATACCATTATTTTCATCTTCATTATCATTCGAATCTACATTTGTATCTTGTTGTTCCTTTTAAAATATACCATAAAAACAATTAAAAAAAGAGATTTTTTTTGTTTTATTCTAACCGTTTGCGATGTTTCTTCATCAAGTAATTCACTCTGATCATTTGCAATACTTTCATCTCCTAAGAAATAAATAAATATATGCATAGATTCATAAAATAATCCGATTGTATATACCATCATCATCTGATTTTTCTGAAATGTCATTAATATTTTCACTATCTGTATTGTTTGATTGTGCATGACTAATAAATATAAAATGAATTTATATTCATTTGTTTTTTTGAAAACTCACGTTCGACAATAAAGATTAGATTCACGAGCTACACGTAATTCACAATCTGGTGTTGAGCATACATAATATCGTCGACCACCAGGCCGTGAAGATGAACGAACCAAAAAATATCGTCGACCTGTAGTTTTCGATGTAATTATCGTTCGTTTCATGGGTTGTCTCATCTAAAAAATAAATTCTTATTCATTTCTTTCATATTTCTAAAAAAAGAAGCTGACAAGCTGTGTCATTTTTTTCAGTCGATTACACATATTTTATCCAACACAAAGAAGAACATATTTATAAAAAAAACGAAATCATCATACTCATAATGAATTGTTCGACAACACAAAATATTCATAATCAACATTTTCTAACAGGAAATTTAGGTGCTTCTATATTTATAATTATATATATTGGTTTATATGGTACAGGTATTATTATTTATTTTGCATGTCAATTTACAACGGACACTCGAGATAATCGTGAAGATGAAGTTTCACCTGAATTCTTTTTAATATTTCATCAAATCAATGAACGTCAAGATATCTACAGTATGAATTAAGATTTCGAAAACGAAAGAAACTATTTCTATTTTAGATAAATTAAAAAATAAAGAATGGGTTAAAAAACTATATATGATCTATTATTCCGATGAACCATTTAAATCATTAATAGCTGAACAAAAAGCAAAACATTGTTCAGAAAAATATCAAATGAAAATTCAAAATCTTCAATTAAAACACACATATTATGTAACAAAAAGCCCAACACCATGTATAAATTAACAAAGAAAAAAAAGTTTTATTAATACGAGACCTAGTAGTAAATAACTCTAAAATATTTTCTTATTTATTAAACGAAATATTCAAACCTATAGTTGAATAGTATTCTTCTCTTGACAATTTCGAATACATCACTTTCATTCATAGGCGAAGTCAAGATAAATATTATTCATGAAATTCTCAGACGATATAAGTAAAACAAGAGTATGAATATACCTGTATCGATTCTATTATATCAAACCATCACCTAAAAAATGTTAACTATATTGAATTCTACTATCAATCAAATGATAACAATCTATAAAAAGAAATATATCAAAGAAAGACAAAATAAAACCAATCAAATTAAATTTTCATTTTCGTGTGATAGTAATATCATTTTGTTCATTTTTTTAAAAACTACCAATTATTATTTTATACCAATAGATTTATTTGACTTTATATCTTACGGAAAAAAAATATTAATGATTTATTCTATATTTCTAAAAATTACAGTTATAAAATAGCTTTTCTAACATCAGAAAAGTTCAACATAGATGGCAATAGAAGTCAGTAAATATATTTTTTTCGATTAAAAACTTTTCATTAATATTAAAACAATATGAGTACTGTTAATTTTTTTATTCAAAATTTTCAAAAACAATATAATCGTATTTCATACAAAAAACAATCTAGTTTTTTTTCTTTGTTGTAGCAATTATCGAATATAAAAAAAAAGAAGGGAACTGAAGAAATATTTTAAAAATTAAAACGTTCATTATTATTATTAGTCGATGTATTTGAATGAGAATTTCCAAATGAAAATTCATTATTAGTATTCAATGTTGGATTCATTGATGAAATATCTTCATCATCCTAGAAAAAACGAAAATTTGGTTTTTATCGAAAGAAATTTTGCTTTTATCTTACAGCTTCATTTGAAAAGAATTTATCAATTATTTCATAAGATTGTTTATATATATCTCCATTTGAATGTGTTTGTAAACGTTCGATTTTATCAAGACCTCCACATTCTTCAATTTCTCTTGTAATTGATTCAAGTTTAATTGCAGATGATTGTTTAAGAATATTATGTAGAGCATCAAGACAAACTTGTAACACTTGAGTATCTGGTTGTTGTAATAAATTACTAGAAACAAAGAACAATAAAATAAATATATAAAATATTCATCGAACCAAAGCGCTGGTATAACATGTTGATCAATTATATATTGAATTTGGTCTGGTGAACCACTCATCGTTAAATTTGATATACACCATGCTGCTTCTTTTTGTATTTGAATTCCACTCTAAGAAAGATTTTTGTTTTGAAAGGAAGAGAGTTTATATATTTATACGAACATATTGTAAATGATGAATGACATCAGAAATTAATTGTGCATCAAGGACAGCTTGTATTTGTTGTTGATTACCAGCTGTTATATTCGATAAAAACCAAACAGATTCCTAAATGTTTTATTTTATATACACTACTAACACAAACATGATTGAAGAAATCATTCGGCTCTTTATATGTAACATCCGATTTTCTCTCATTCTTTTTAAGTATCTGCTAATACTGATATAGAGTTATATTATTCAAATTCTTTTACGTTGATGAAGAAAAAATATTGACCTATAGTCATAAAATCTATTCATTTCTCTCCAGATTATTCATCATATTAAATTTTTCAATCTAATTTTGTTTAGGATAAAAAAATCTTACTTTATTAAGTTTTTCTTTTTTGGATTTAAATAATTTTGGAAAATAATTAAGAGCACCATGATTTAAAACTAATTGTGTTTGCTCATCAGTACCTGTTACAACATTACCAATTGCTCTCAATGCTAAATTAATCAAATAAGTATTAATTAAAAACTGAAAAAATCTTTACCAGGTGTAACAATTTTAATTTCATCATGATTTAAAAATTTAATAATCTGTGGTAATACACCTGAATCAGTAATAACCTTCACAAATATTTATAATAAAAATTTTCTTTTTTTTTACAAAAATTCTTTACCTGAATTACTTCATTTCCACAATCAAGAAGATAAGCTAATGCCCATGTACAATCTACAAGAATCTAGTAGAATAAAACACAAAAAAATATATACTTTAACCTAAACAATCCTCTTCTACATACATTTGTATCTTGAAAGGCAAGTAAATATTTTAAAGCTGGTAAAAGTTCTTGAATAGCACCTACGGCTAATGGTGGTTCTTTATGACGACAAAGATTAACAATAACCCATGTAACATTTCGAAGAAAACTAACAGGTACATCTTTTTTAAGAAATTCAACTAATGGCTTAATCACACCTAATTGAACTGCATAATCACGTAATGCTGGACCATCACCTTCAATCATTATATAAATAAACGATAGAGTTTAGAAGAAAAAGTATTTCGTTTTTTACCAATAAGATTTCCTAATGCCCATACTGCTTGTTCACATACATTTGAATGTCGCGAATTTAGAAGATATAATAAAGGTGGTAAGGCATCTGCATCAGCAACAGCTTGTGTTTGATATGAACTACCTGATGCAATATTTGTCAATGCCCAAGCTGCTTCAAATTGTAAATCTGGATATTTATCGTAGGTTAAATATTGAACAAATATTGGTAAAAAATTTGATTGTATTAATTTATCAATAGGAGGATTACAATCAATAGATAAAAGTTTTCTTGCTGAACGTATAGCATCTAGACGTACTGTTGGATCATCACTTTTAGATTTTAGAGCAAGATCATCAAGATCAAAATCATGGCTTGGTTTTCGATCTTCTTCCGAACCATCTGACATATTATCATCCGCAGGAAAATTACGTTTAACTTGAATTTGTTCATCACGTTTCGTCTGGAAGAAAAAAGAAACCTTGATGTCGTTTAATTTTTTAAAGTAAAATATGTACTTTTCGAAGTGTGACATTATATTGATTTCGTCGACGTCGAAGTTCGTCGGGATCTTTTCCATGATGTTTATATGAATTTAAACGTGTATGAGCATTTTTAGATGCTGATGAATCCATTACTGTTATTATTTTTTTTCTTTCTTATTCGCTATTATACAATGGAAAGAAAACCTGCGTTGATTGATCATGCATGTATTTGAGTAGCTTTAGCCTTTAGTTTTTATTTCTGAAATAATCTACGAACCAGATTAGAAAACCAAGGATAGTTAATAAAAAAAAGGTTTTTCAACAAATTTATTTTTTCATAGTCATTAATTAATTGTATAAGAAAATTAAAATTGAATAAACTTAGTTTTGATTTTTTAAAATTAGAATAGATGGCGACAGCAGGTGGAAGAATATTCATATAGATAATAGCAGGAACATATTGTCATTGTTTTTCAATACAGAAATGTCAAAATCTACTTTTTGTTTTTATTGTAAACTAATAATTTAAACTTATTGTATTCTTTGCTAAGGAAATATGATATTTTGATTCTTTTTTATACTTAAAATCTATATACAATAGCATCACTTATATTTATTCTATACATATGTTACCCTTCAAATCTGTACATATATTTACTTAATATTTTTTCAGTATAAAAAAATACAATCGCCGATTTATTTTAGCCTGAAGAATACTGTCCTTCATCTGTGAAATACAAAAATAAAAACAAACGATTCTTGCTAATAAATTATTATTTCTTAATTATTCATAGAAAAAAAATGTGTTATAGCCCAATACTATAGCGTCAATAAAAACAATCAGAACAGTAGTTTTACTATTAGCATCATATTCATACTACACTTGATTTAGTCGGTAGATGATGTAGAAAAATTCAGCTAATGAACGTATATATTATTCATAGAAGGTATTAAATATTGCATATAATCATACATATATAATTTATGTAATTGTCAATGAACTAAATGTTTTTATAAAGAGATTTCAATTAAAATATTGAATATTTAATAAAACTATTTTTAACAAGTTATATTAATAGAAAAGGGCTAAAGAATTCAAAGACGTATACATATCATTATAAAAGTGTAACATTCGATTTAACAGTTATACTAATTATATTCATCTATTTAATGATAGAGTATAATTCTTATAAGGTATAATTAATTTAAGATCAAATGATAATAACATTACGATTGAAAAATATCATGACAAATAAAATCTTCTAACGATAATTTTTATAATTAATAATCAATGTTTTGAATGTCAACTGTTTTTTTTTTCGTAGACAATCATTCGTTTGCTATAACATACTATATCTTATACATAAATAAATAGTAAAGACGCGTTTACATTTACAACACGAATATCTTTCTTAACCTTATTATTCTTACGATACTTGAAACGATGTATATAATTAAACGGTTCACTTCATTGGATTAACGCCATACATATGTTGTTAATCGATATGCATATACATAGATATATATATAAATGCGACTAGTACTCATGTCATATAACACTTTATTGTGTATGCATATGCACTTGTCAAATAGAATGTAGGCGTGTAATGCTTATGCATATATAAATGTATTTTTTCAAAAAAAATTTCGATACATTGTGTCAAGGTTACTTTTATACACTTGTAATCCGATGTGAAAGTGACATTCAACTAAATGAAGTTCTTTTAATCTTACATATTTATACATATATATTTATTACATAAGAAATTGAGCAAAAAAAAAGAGAAAACTAGAAATCGACGATGTCTCTTCAATAGGTGATGACAGGTGTGATGATTGATGAAGTTTTATATAGTCATTATCATAAGATGACTTTGAAGTGTAAAAATAATAATCTTGAAATCAAAAAAAAAAAAGAATAATGAAATTAAAATAAAAAAGAGCTAGATTATCAGATATTTAATCAATAAATGATTTTCTTTTGTATTGAAAAATGATTTGATTGAGATTGATAATAAAAGATAACATATCCTTGATGTATAACAATTATATACGATATACATATGTTTGCTAGTAGATGACATGTGTTCGTCTAACTGATTAATAATCAACAAGATACTCTCTTTTATCTGCATGATTGACCTTGTTTCTCTCGTGGACAAATACATACATATATTCAGGTGGTTGTCATTATGGATAAACAGATGCAAAAGGTACTTTTTTTTATATATGTATAAAATAGTAAAATAACATTTACAAACGATCATTTTCTATTCTTCGAAAGTATTTTACTTTGAATGTATATGTATATATAAGAGGATTGTTTTTGTATGAAATAAAGTAAAGATTTTCAAGTTATAAGTATACTCAAGCATAAGTGAGAGTAAGTGTGCATATCATATTCAATTCTTGTCAAGAAGAAAATTTTATATCAAGGGATCTTATATGTTTCAATGTTACTTTCTTCAAACAGTATTTTTTTCATATTTAATAATTTTCTCTCTTGGGGTTTTTTTCTTCTTCTTCTTCTTCTTCTTCCTGGCTAGTAAACCCGAAAAGGAATAAAAAAAAAGAGTAATAAACGGAGATTCTCTTTTTTCCATCGCGTTGTCCTGGTTCCTCGACTGTCTCTAGGTAAGAAAAAAAGCCCCCTTATTTCCCCATCATTAATATTTCTTTTTTTTCTCCTTTCTTGTCTTTAACGTTCAAACATTCATTATCATTATAATTCTTATATTATCGTTCGTTACTAGATATATGAATACATTAAATTGAATCAAAATATGCAATTAAACTTGTGTCCTATATTTAAAATTTTTGGCTCGATAGCTACGGCAACAAATGCTCCATTTTTCTCTCGCTATTAATATGCAAACTAAGGCATAGAGAGAACAGGTAAAAGAACACAAAGAAAGAAAAGGAGAACATATACACACATCTATATAAATATATATACATACATACACATATATATATATACGTACATATAAAACAGGCAACATCGTATATCGTTCCGATATGTATACATCTACCTATTCATCATCTTCACCTGTTCGAACACCAACATTCGGAGTAGAATCGACAAATTACCAACATCAACCTTCAACTAGACTAAATTATAATTCTTATCAAACAATGGATGATGGCAATCAATCCTTACGAGGTACAAATACAGCTTATTCAAATAGTATTTCATCTTTAGCATCAATACCAATACGTCCAACAACACCATCAAGAAAATATACGAGTAATTATAATAATAATTTATCAAATGATTCAAATACAAATACATATCAATCAACTCCTTATCGTTCTCAAATTGCTGATAATGATATGTATCGTTCAAATAATCCAATCGGAAATATACGAACAAATTCATATGATGATTTACTTAATGGACAAAATCAAACATATCGATCTCAACCGTCTGTTTATAATTCATCATCACGACTTGGTACAAATAATAATGATAATTCATATAGACAACAACAACAACCACCACCATCACAACAACAACAACAACACGTACGACGTAGTGAACAGGATGATGATTTAATAGTCAAATCAACTGATTTATCAGCTACAAATGAACAAGAAATGCTTGAATTAGTTCGATCATCATTTCGTAAATATGATTTAAATAATCAACGTGAATTAGCTGGTTTTCTTAAACGTTCAGCTGATAAAACATTTTCATCATGTTGGCATTGTATTGTTGGAAGACAATTTAGTTCCTATGTAACACATGAAATGAATGGGTTTATTTATTTAACAAAAGGTCCACTATCAATTTTACTTTTTAAAAGTGGTTCTTAAAACTTTTATCTTATTAATAATTATCGAATTTTTGATCGTCTGTATATATTGACTATTAGTATTTATTTTTTCATTTTGTTCCATTACATTATAGATATTTGACAAAAAATCAATTTTTAAACAAAAAGGAAATATCATATAAATATATATGCCAATCTTTTGCTTTTCTCCATGTTTTTAATAAATAAGAAGAAGAAAAAACATAATATGTTTGTTACCTTTCAGTATGAATATTTTTTTTGTGTCAAAAAGAAGAAAAAAAAAGATGAATAACATAAAATAATCTTAATCAATAAAATGAAAATCGACATTGATTCAAATCATATCATTCGATTTAAAAGTTTTATTTTCGTTTAGCAAAAAAAAAAGAAAAAAAGAAAAAAAGAAGGAGTATATACATATAAAAATCGTAGACAACACGGAAAAGAAAAAATACATATTTACCAAAATGGGCACCAACCAATATACGATCTAAAAGAAAATATTCTTCAAAAAACATATTCATTTAAAACATGAAATACTTACTGGCATAAATTTTCATGACTTGTTGCTTGTTTAATAAGTAATTCAACTTGTGTTGGAATATCCACAGGTTGTTCTCGATGAAAATCACTTCCTGTTAATTTTTCTCGTACACGAGTCATTATTTCAACGGCTCGTATTGTTCTACCCGGTTGTGTTACAAGATTTTGTTGTTGAACATTTTGTTGTTGTTGTGTTGTACCACCAATTGTACTTTCATGTTCATTATCTTCTTCATTAACTGTTGATAAATGTGGTTGATAATGTGCTTGTTGTGGTTGACCTGTTTGAGGTGATTTATTACTTACACTTGATGTTCCACCATTTTGTTCATTATTAATTTCTAATAAACGCCAATTCAATAATGGATCATGAATAAATGCTTCTAAAACAGCCATAAGACTATCACGATTCTTTCGTAATACATCCATAACATGTTCACATGTCATACGAAATGTTCCATCAATTCCTGTTACTTCCATTGCTTTGCGTAGCATACGTGTTAAACGGAATGGAATTTTTTCTGGGAATTTTTCTCTTGTCATTGCAACTTCAAAACAATCACCAAAATCTATATGAACAACTTTTCCACTAGCACGATCAAGCATTAAATTTGATGGATGACGATCACCTAAACCTAATATATAACCAACCTAAAAAAAGCAAAATCATTAAATAGAAATATTTTTTCTATTAATTCAAAAGTAATAACACAAAATATCAATCCTCATATTATATTCTATACAAATATGTTGTCTGTCCTTCAGTTGCTTTTTTAAGATTTGTTTTTTATTCATAAATAATTATGAAATGTTTAAACAAGCAATCCATTATGGCAATAAGATGAAGTTGTTGACAATTACTATATTTATCTTTCTAGACAACTATAGAAAATAATGATATGATATTTATGTATTAACTTTTTTTGGAAAATATTCATTGAAGGAAATAACATCATCTCAATTTACAATTATTTGTAAAGCGTCAAGAAAAAAAAATCATAGACATCAAATATTTGCTTTACAAACGTACGTGTTATTCATAACTGGAATGTTTTCCGAAAGTACTTTTTATATATTAAGCTAAAACCTTTATTGAATATATATATTGATATATATATTCAAATAGAATCACTATTTTATCTTACCATTGACATAACTGCTAACGATCTTGTATAATTTGATCGTCTATCTAACCATATTTCAGCACTTGAACTCTTATGCCATAGAATCTTAGCTAAATCATCACCTTCTAATAAATTCAATGCATATTCAAAAACTTCAACTTTATTAATTAATGGTAATTGATCATAATGTGGAGCTTTTGCTTGCATATAACGATGTTCAGCATTAAGCATAATACGCGCTTTTTCACGATGTTCTTTGATTAATGCATGAAATGTATCACAGTGAGCAACCCAACCAAGTAAACCATTATTTGGTGCTAATGGTATAACTGGATAACGTTGAATAATAAAATTTCGACGACGTGTTTCATCATTAGCTGAAAGAAACTCATTAACTAAACCAAATAATTGCATAACACGTTCATCTTGTCTTAAATCTTCATGTCCTTTTAATAAAAATACATATTCAAAACCATCTGAACCTGTTATACTAATTTTTCTTGGTCGTTGTTTTGATGTTATAACTGTTATACGAGAATGAACACTTCGAATTGTAATCGGTGGTTTATGTGGTTCATATGTACCTGGAACAGCTAATTCTAAATCACGACAATGTGTTGCTAATCGTGGTGAAACATAATCTAATTCAAGTGATGTTATATTTGGTAATTGAGCATGAATACGTTTAAATACTTGATGATAAAGATCCCATGCTTGATGTAATTCACGTTGATCTTTAGTTCGTTGAAAACGACGAATACATTCATGAGCTTGAGATAAATCATTACTATATGAATCAAGAAATGTACGTTCATTTAATGTTGTACTTCCACGTTCAATTGCTGCATGTAATGGTTCTAATGTTTCAATCATACCTGGTATACTTCGTTCACCAAAATATTGTCTTGATGCTTCTTCTAAACCTTCATGCCATTTTTCATGCCATAAAATTGAAATTCGTATTAATTCTTCACTAACAACCATAGCTTGTTGTACAAGTGTATGACTATGTTCTCTCATATTATTTAAAACTCTATTTGCTGCAAGTTCACGTTCACGTACAACTGATTTTGATGCAACAACTAATGGATAGATTAAAGCTTGAGGATGTTGCCGACCAACATCAATAAGTAAATGTCGTATTAATTGATGAACTAATGGTCTTGGAGAATCAATACGTGCAATTAATTGTGGTAAAACTTGTAACCATACTTCAACAGGTACTGTACGAATACCTTCAACAAGTGCTTCGTGTACTTCACGATATTGTCCATATTCAAACCAAAGTGTTAATAAACGAAGAGTATCTTGTAAACAATGTTTAGCTTTTGAAAGTAAAATTGATTTAAGTAAACCTTTTACAGCTGGAATTGTACAATGTATCATTTTTGCTGTTAATTGTGGATAAGTTTCATTTGATGCATCAAGATTTGATTGTTGAGAAGTTGTTATTTGTGTTGGTGGTGGTGGTGGTGTTAATGGTGGTTGTGGTTGTTGACGTGATGGTGATGTTACATTATCAACAACAACAACTACTGATGGTGAAGATGGTGGTTTTAATGGTTGATTATTACGTGATAAATCTTGTATACGTTGTTTAAAATGATTGACAGCATCATAATTAAGTACAGCATAAGCATTCCATGCTTTATAATTTGATTCATCATATGTCCAAGCATGTTCATAATTTTTCATAATTTCAGTTAATGTTAATTCATCAGTCATACCAAATAATTCATGTTGCCATGTACCTAATCGTAAATAACATTTTGATATTAATTGACGAAGACGTTGTTCACGTTGATTTATTGGTTGAGATGATGTTGATAAGGATGTTGTTGTCATTAAAGAAAATGCAGTAGAATTTAATGGTGGTGTTGCTGTTGTTGTTGTTATTAATAGTGGCGTTATTTGTGGTCCAGCACCACCAATAGTTTGAGTTTGTCCAGTTAATGTTGTTCCTGTAATAGCTGGTGTTGTACCTCCACTTGTTGTAATAATATTTTGTTGTTGAACATTTCCAGTTGTTGTTGCTGCTTGTTTTCTTAAATGATCTAATGCAGGTAAACATGTTTTCGTAACCATTTCTTTCATTTCTTCAATTAATTTAAATTGTTCTTGACGATTTTGTTCAAGTTTGAAATTTGTAATTTCAATATTTGCTGATACTGATGTTGATATACTAGCAGATGATGATGATGATGGCATTGAAGTTGCAGCATGACTATTTTCAATAATTGGTGTATTTTCATTATTAAAAACTTGTTTACGATTTTGTCTTTCAAGTAAAAGACGTTCACGTGTTGCAACTAAACAATGCCAATCATATTTAGCTTTTTCATATTTAACTAATTGTTGATCAATTAATGATGGATGATAATAATTTTGTTGTGATGGAATTGAAAATGCTGGTGTTGTTGTTGCTTGAACATTAAAATGATGGGATGTTTGACTTTGATAGGTATTTGAACTTACTATTGATATATCACGATTAATATTTGTTTGATCAGTTAATACTGTATGAGCAAGTTCTTTAAATATAAAATCAGCCATTGTTAAACGATTTGATTTACGACAAAGATTAGCTAATTTAATCCAAGATTGAAGATCTTGTGCCATGGGTAAACAAAGTGAATGTGTTAATAATAAACGATGATAATCATCAATGATTGGTTGATTTCCTTGCATACGTTTTTGCCAAATTTCACATATTGATTGACGACGTTCAGGTAAGATTTTATAATACCATGCTTCTTCTAATTCAGATAAAAGTTGAGCATTAATCATAGCTGAATATGCTCGATTATAACTTTCATTAGCTAATGTTGTTAATTCAACATCTAATAATTCTCTCGCTAAATCAATTGAATCTTGTGCTTGTCTATAATTATCATTTCGAATTGCATCAACAGCACGATAATATGCACCTTCAAATTTCGTATCTGGTATATGAATATAATATTTTTCCATATCAGATAAATCACCAAGACTCCATGCTGCACGTGTTGCCATAGGTGCAATTTTTTGTTGAAGAATTTTTTTTAATTCTTTTCCATTTATCATACCTTGCGAAGGATGTAATACTGATGATGCAGAATTTCTATCAATTAAACTTGTTGTAAATGGTAACATTGCTGCAGGTTGTTCATCACGAATTTGTTCAGTTAAATCCCATACTTGACTTGATAAATCTTTTAAATCAGCCCATGAACCAAGTGCTTGCATACATCTCATACGTCCCATATGTATATCCATATTAGATGAATCATTTGTTCGATAAAATTCATAATTTCTTAATGCTCGTTCCCATTGATTTAATTTCTCATACCAAAGACCTTTGATTTTAATATTATTATGTTTAGCATATTGTAATGCACCATATGCAGCTTCAGATTGTTGTAATTCATGATTAATACTAATTAATGATTCAACAATATCGGATGTAATAGATGCTTCATTTACCGATGAATTCTGTTGTTTTTGAAATTCTTCTTCTTTATATCTTAAAGCTTTAGCATACGCTCGAACAGAAAAAGCTTTTTCACTTAATAAATGAATATTAATTAATGATCTTTCTGTATCATCATCATTATCGGAATTTTGATCTTTTTTAGTTGTTTTTTCTTTATCATTGCTTATTTCATCATTTGTATCATTTAAATTTATATCTTCACCTCGTTTATTTCCTTTTTGTTGTCGTTCTAATTTTAATTTTAAATCACAATGATTACGAAATTCAGCTAAATTTAATATTATTTGTATAACATCAGGTTTATCACATACGGATAAAACATATGTTAATGCAGCTGTTAAACTTGCTCGATCTTGAGAATTTAATTCACTCCAACAAGATATAAATGATGCATTAAATAAATCACGTGGAATTGATGGTGATACTTGAGCTAAACAAGTACCCATAGCACGTAATGGATAAACAGGTGATTGTTCTAAAACAAGTTGTTGAAGTTTATTTAACCACATTGGTAAATCTTTGGCATTTCTTTGCATAGCTTGTGTCCAATGTGCACTTAATTGAACTGTACGCATTGTATATAACATTTTTTCATCTTTTGTTTTTTGTTCACCTGTTGTTTGATTTAATAAATTATTTGAATTAATTATTATTTCTGATTGTACATCAACAAATGATGAATCTTTTAATTTGGATATATATAATTCATATTTTGAATGTTGTAATTTCATTTCATCCATTGTTTTGGATACAAGTGAACTAAATACAAGAAAATGTTTACCCATTTGTTGTGCTAATATTAATATTATATCTAAACATTTCATTTGTAATTGTGTTGTTTTACGTATAATACGTAATAAGATTTGTAATATAGCAGATACATAATCACTTAAGAAAACTTTATCAGCTAATTGTTCAATTGTATCTAATGCTTCTTGTCGTAATTTAATTGGATAGGAAGTTGTTGATGCAATATCTAATATTGATGGTAAAACAACATTAAAATGTGGTTTTAATGTTTTACCAAATTTATTTAATGTTGAAAACATTTGTGATAAGATTAATTGTCTATCTTGATTTGGATTTGATGATGATAATTGATTTATATTAACATTATTTGTATCGATACGAAATGTTTTCATAACAAATGGTAATAATAAATGTATGTAATGACGAAATTCACTATCTAATGCAGCTGCTAATGCTTCAATTGTTTGTATAAGTAAAATTTGTAATTCTGAATGATTATCCCAATAATCACGTATTAATTGTACAACATCATTAACATACGGTGTTATAGAACTTTTTATTGATATTATTATAATATTTATTTGACGAAAATATGGGACTAAATTTCTATCATCAGTATTACGTACAACAGATAATAAACGTGGTAAAACTAATGAAACATATTGTGTACAAGTACTTCCAAGCCATTGAAGAATTATTGATATAGCTTGAACAGCTTTTAAATGTAATTGTGGAGTATTAGAATCTTTTAATACACGAAGACAAACATTAATTGCCATTTTTGTATAAAAATCATGTAAAGATATGGCACCGGATGCAACTAAAAGTTCATTTGAAGATATTTCTATTGGATCGGGTTCATCACGAACACGATGTGTTAATGTTATATCATTAACATCATATGATAATGAACGTAAAGGATCATTACTTGATCGTACATGATAAGGATCAATTGCGCCAAGAAAACCAAGAACACGTATTGTTTCACGACGAAATGGTGTTTCTTCAGATTTTAAAAATTGTAAAAGTACATCAAGTAAAATAGGATATTTTTGTAATGGTTCAATAACATAACAGCAACTTTCAACAATTTGTCCAATTGTCCATAATGCTACTTCACGTTTACGATAATTTGATGTATCTTGCATCATATTTATTAATATAGGAAATAAATCATGTATACGTTGGTCAAGATCAATACCACAAACTTGTGCTTGTTCACCAACTGTTCGTACTAAGGCTATAAGAACATTTGAATGTTGTTCATGTAATTTTATTAATGGTAATAGTGCTTGAGTTATTGATTGCATATAGGGTCTAACAATTCTTGGTGTATTTGCAATTAATTGTCCTAATAATCTTGATGCTTGTTCTTTTCCACTTAATGAACATCCAATTTCTAATTCAGTTAATAATTGTAATAATAAATGTCTTAATGGTGGTAAAACATAAGCTGGATTTATATTTGATAAACGTCCAATAAGACTTAAAGCTAATTCTCTTATTTCATGACATTCATCATGTACAGAAAAAAATAATAATTCTAATGCTTCAGATTTAGCTAAGAATTGTTTAAAATCATCTTGTAATGTTAAAAAAACATTATAACGTACATCAGGATCTAAATCAGTAACACCAATTGTTAATATTCTTTGTGTAATAACACCAATTTTAATTCGTAATTTATTAGCTGCTATTAATGACGTAGTTGTATTTGTTGATAGACTTGCTTGTGATGGTGGTAATAATAATTTTCTTAATAAATGTGTTATTGTTATAATTGATTCAATTCTTATACGTACACTATCATGTTCAATAAAACGTTGATTTAATATATCAATAAAAGATGGTTCAATAGCTTGTGCTTCAAAATCAAATATTCTTAATGTTTGTAAAGCAATAAGTATAATATCACTTTGTCCATTTGTTAAATTTGGATTATATGCTAATGGATTAGATAGAATTGATCGAAGATTTTCTAATAAACCTTGATGAATTTTACGTTTTGTATCTGTATGTATTAATGGCATTGAACATAATTTATCCAGGCAAAATAATAATGAATGATTTAAACCACAATGTAATAAATATTCTAATAAATTATCTAAACATTTTGATGCATCTGGTCCAGCTTCACCAATCATTGTTATACATGCAAATACACTTGAATCAGGTGATGAATATCGACATGGTAATAAATTATTTATTGATGATTGTTGTTGTTGTTGAGATGATGATGATGATTGATTTGAATTTTGTCGACGATGAGCATGTCCAGATGTTATTGAAGTATTTGTTGATGATATTGGAATAAATGTTTGTTTTAAACATTCAAATATTTTCGTCATATCTTTCGTTAATGGTGTTGTTGTTATTAATGAATCTGTATCATTTATTCGACTTGTTTTATCCGATAATATCATTAAACCTAATGCATGAAATGCTAATTGACGTTCTTTTAATTCATGAGAATTTATACGTTCATATATAAATGTCATTGTAGCATCGACATAGGGTTGATGAGAAAACCATCGATAATCTAATGATGCTAAACGTGGTAATATACGAATTAAAACATTAGGTATCATAGATTTTGGTTGTTGACGATATTGAAATACTTGATTACAAATATTAACAAAATTTTCAAGCATAATTGAACGAATTAAAGATGATTGTACTTGAATTTGAGATTGTTCAGGATTATCAATAATATCCATTGGAGATAATGGACCAGTACGTTCGAATGTTAAAGCAACACGAGAACGATGAACATCCTAAAAATATAAAAAAATTATGCAAGATTTCAAATATAATCATATTTTACTTTATATGAAATTGGTTTTGGTTTTGGTGCACTATATGGTTGAATTAAATCTTGACAGATACTCTAGAAAATTATTATTATTAATAGATATAAATACTTTTGAAAATCTATCTTACTTCAAATTTAACATCTGATACACGTAATAATTCATTAAGTAAAAGAAGTCCACCATGAATTCGATCTTCTCTTTGTGCATTTTTATTTTTTGTTGTTGTCTCAACTTGTAAACATTTCATTGCTTCATTATAAGCCATCTAAATAAATTTAATTTCAAGAACAAACAAAAAAATGAAATTTTAAACGAACATTATATGCTTTTAAAAATGTATTTGATTCTGTATTTATTGCATAACTTGTATTACTACTTGTTAAATCTTGACCAGTTGTTATATCACTATTATTATTTTTTTGTTCTTCACGTTCACGATCAATAAGAACAACTAATGTTGCTTGCATTGTTTCAGCAAATGCTTCACGAATATATTGCTAAACAAAGAAAAAATAAAAGAATATATTTATTTTTTTTTCTTTGATTCTATTACTTTTGGATCTGTCATTGTACCAAAAAGTTGTTCAAAAAATTGTTCAACTGGTGTTATTAAATGATAGTAACGTGATGGAGCAGCTATAGCTATTTCTTTTAATATTGTTATACCACTATAACGTCTTGTTTCATGTTGTTCTTCTCGCGAGATACGTTCAAGTGCTTTAGGAACATCTAGTGAAAATTGATCGATACTCATTCGACCACAACCCTATTAGAAAAAAAATTATTTTTTGATTAAAATTAATATTAAATATTGAATTACTTTAACGAGTATGCATGTTAATTTGACAACTAATTCACATAGATTAGCATCAACTGACATTTGTTTATAACCACGTAATGTTGGTTCTAATTTATTACTTAATTCAGTATAAAAATTTTGTCCAGCACAAACAAAACATACTAAATATATATATGTCGTATAAAAAAAAAAAGATTTCATTGAAACATACGAATAACAAGAAGAGCGGCGCGATTTTCATTGACATCATTTGGATTAGCCATTTTATTTCTTACAAATTCTTGTACCTGTTCAGCAATAACTGTAACAACATCAGATGGAGCCTAAATAAACAATCAAATTTATAGATAGATCTCTTTTTTACTCATATTATAAAATGATAAATCTCACTCACATCTGCATATTGTGAAATAATACGTTCGTAAAGTTCATCTGTTGCTCGACGACGTGTATCTTCATTTGGACTCTGTAAATCCACGGCAAACTGCTCCAATAGAGCAGGAAACCGGGTGTCTGTTACAGACATTTTATCTGAAGAAATAAACTACATTATTTTTTGTTTCTATAAACAATATATTTCTATATATTGTTTAATTTAGTTATTTTTTTTAAAGTTTGTTTTACTATGCAATCAAAAACACACATCAAACGAAGTTATAACAAAACATGAAATGAAAACAGAATAACAAACAAATGAAAATTATGCTTGAATGAGCAAATATGTGTTTGAATAGCCTAAAGGAATTTTTCTATTTATGATGTTTGACGAGTTGATCGTTCCCATGGATTTTGTTCTTGTGTTTGATTCTCATCATTTACTCGACGATTTTGTTTTGGTTGTGTTGAACTCATATCATCTTCTGTATTTCGTTTTGAACGTTGAGAATTAGATGAATTTGGACTTGCATTACGACGTGTTGAAGAAAAGTCATTATCATTACGATTTAAACGTGAAAATGATTGATTTTGTTGTTGTTGTTGGTTACGATCTCCTTGACGAGAAAAGTCATTATATGATGAATTTCGATTACGTGATGAATATTGATCATTGTCATAATTTCGTTGATAACCATCTGCATAAGAGTTTTGTGAACTAAAATTAGATTATCGTCATTGATATTTATGTATCGTTATATGCATACCGTCGATCATAACCAGAATCTCGTCTTTGGAAATTATTATTTTCAAATCGATTATTTCTATTATATCCATTAGATTGTTGATAAAATCCACCTCTATTTCCTTGTCTTGAATTATCTGATCCTTGATTAAAGTCTCCGCGATTACGCTAGAAAAACAAAAATTTTTGTTCTTGTTTTTTGTTTTTGTTTATTTTAATATTTACAAGATTTCCAACTGTTCGTTGAAAGCTACCACGAACATTTTGTTGTGTATTTTGTCTATTTGTTGGACCACGACGACTAAAATATAATAAATTAAATAAGAAAATTAAAAATAAATCTTCTACTTGATTGGTTCACTAAGATATTCTGGCAAATCTGTTGTTGATAGACGATTATTTTTTAAAACAAATTTTGATAATTCTTCAAAACGTGTTAAAAGACTTTCATCTTTAGTTTTTTCGACGGCTGTTCGAATATGTCGCATCTGAAATAGAAATCGTTCTTTTTCTTAAAATAAATTATTTATTTCAATTACTTACAACAAGTGGAAAAACTCGTCGACGATCACTATTAACGGGTGTTTTTTCTGCAAGTAAATGAACAACATTTATTGCTTCTTCAACACGTCCCATATCAGAATAACAAATTGCCTTTGAAAATAAAAAATATTGAAATTTCATTAAAACACAATATCTATGTATATATTCATACTCGAATATTTTGTACTGTTGCAAAATTTTGTGCTCGAACAGAACCTAAAACTTCCATAGCAAATTGTGGTTCACCTTGTTGAATAGCTAATAATGCTGTCATAGCAGCTGTACGTGGATTTATATCAGCATCACGTTCTCTAACTTTTGTAATAAGTTCTTTGGCTTTAACTAATGATTCTTTAGTATTCTATAAATATTAAAAACAACTAATTATCTTTTACCCAAATAAAATTCTTCTTTTTTATACTTGTCGATATAATCCTTCAATAGCTAACATAACAACATCGGTTGGAAAAGTTCGTCCACTTGTTGTCGAAAATCCTCGTTTACTACCAAATTCAAATACTTTAACTGCATCATCATAACGTTTGTCCTCAATTAATTTATTCATAAGTACAAGTGCTGATGCTGAATCATTGAATATTGTTTTCAAGTTCTATTTTTAAAATTAAAAACAAATTTCTTATATATCGTTTTTTTAAATATTTAAGTTTTACTTCATCCATATATAATTGTAATGCTAAATCAGTTTTATTTTGTGTATAAAGTAAACGCATAACTGGTGAACCAAAATGATAATCAGTTAATTTTGTTGTATTTGCACTATATCTAAAGAAGAAAAACAAAAATATATATATAAATTATAATTTTAATATTACTTGACTTACTTTTTTAATGCTTGAATAACGGAATCAATTTCTTGATCAGAATTAGCGGACATTATCATATTACGTAAATCTTCAGTGAAAATTTGTGAATCTTTTTGACCAATCGAGTCAAGAAAACGTTTTTTAAATACATCTAAAGTTTAGAATATTAATGAAAGAAAATAATGGGAAATAGTATTTTACCAAGTGATGGTGCAAAACGTGTTGCATGTTGTTCACGAGATAATTTAAAATTATCAATACCAATACCTGAGCTTGAAAATAATGTACGAATTTGCATATGAATATTTCCATGTGATGCACCTAAAGAATGTTATGACTCATAAAAGTGGGAAAAAAATCATATTTTGTCTATTTCTATAGTGATCATTGGTTTGAAGGAATTCTCTTGATAATTTCAAACTTCGAAAACTAACTTACGATTAATAGCCAAAACGGCAGCTCGTCGAATAATATCAGCCATCTAAAATAGTAACAAAATAAACATATGATTAAGTAGTCTTTATCTATAAAAAATGATGTAAAGAATGTCTATTAATATGAATATTCTGTAATTATTAATTAATATCGATACAAATAATATTTTAATTATTAAATAAGAACTCAATTGTTTATGAAATTTTAAATAATTATGAAATATCGAAATAATTTCAAGAATGATAGATTAAAATAAAAGTCAACATATTTATTGTAGAAAACAAGAAAAACAAGACTAATATAGGAAATGGAATTTATGGATTATAGAGACCGATTTTTATTGGAGTAATATGTTCTTTTAATTATTTAATTTTAAATATGAATTAATTGAAATAAAATATAATTAAAGAAAAATTAAATCAGTTAATAACAAATTTCTCCTCTAACAAATATTTATTTTACTAATATTATAGATGGCGCTTTAGCTAAAAAATAGATTTACTGTAGAAAATGCTACTCAAATAAATTAGCATAAATTCCTCAATGTTTCGCTTTAACAAAAAACATTCCAGATGCTTTATGTGAAATATTCCCCTTTTTTTCTATATAATCATCACTATCATGATAAGCTTTGTTTCATATTGATTTCTGTAAGACTTAAATGGGTATAGAGTTCTGTTCTTTGCCGATAGATATTTTCTTTATGCCATATAATAAAGATGATTCATAATCTATCTATATAAGTCATATAATTCAGTTAGTCCTAAAAAGACTAGAATATTTAATTCTATGAATATATTTACGGTTGAGCTATATAATGTTTTTTATATATTTTTTTTATTTCTAATATAGCTGATTTAAAAAGTATTTCTCACCGGCACAGTAAGTTGATCTCTATTCAAAACGGGGTAAAAAAAAGTTATCAATGGACAACTAAGTCTACTATTTTAAAAAGAAGGACAGGCATGCACGATGGATCTGTTCTACTATGTAAAAAAAAGCAAAAAATTCTCGTTCATGCATTATAATAGGATAATAAATAAAAAAAAAGCTGTTAACACTGTTCGTTTTCAGGTAATTTATTGGGTTGATGATCACCAGTTTTCGAAAGAAATGTTGTCGTTTGTCCACTTGTTGGTTCAAATGAAGATATATTTCCTGAACTACCCGATTGATGTAATACATCAGGTGTTGAAAAATCTTGTTGTGTTGATATCGATGCTTTTCTATCCATCATATATAATTCTTGTCGTTGTCCATCATGTGGATCACTAAATGCACCATAATCAGGTAAACCAAAATCAACTTTATCACTAATTTTTTTTGTTTGGATTGTTGGTGTAACATTTGTTTGATTATCTGCTGTTGGTATTGTTTGATTTATTTCATCTTGATTAGCAGAAAGTAAATGTGGTTCTTCAGCTGCAGCAGCATCAGCAGCATTAGCAGCGGCAACAGCAGCTTGTCGAAATTGTTTATCCAAAGGAAGATGAGTCGCTGATGCTGGACGTGGAAATGATGGTTTATTAAATTGTTCAGTATTTGTTGAAGATGTCGGCAATTTATCCTATATGATAATTAATAGATTTCTGTATTCTATATACAATAAAAATTACTTGTTCGGAGAAAGTTTGTGGTGTTTGATGATCATCGTCATCATCACTATCATCATTATCAGGTGGTGCAGGTGTTGATGAACGAGATACAACTGGTGTTGATGCACCTGATACTGACCCATTTGTCTGAAGAAAAAAAGAATTGAAAGATATTTTATTGGGAAAAAAACAATATTTATATGTACAATATTAAGTAATTCTTCTTCATATTCAGGATGAATTTTTTCTAATGCCATTTTACGAGCACGATGGTAATACTAAAATCATATATCAATATATAGAAAAATAAATAATAACTTCTTTCTTTTAACTTACAATTCCTAATGTATGCCAATCAAGTAATTCACTCAATCGTTCAGTACGATTACGTAACATAATACGTTGTCGTCTTGTTAAATGTGAGAAATCATACATATATTGTGCAAGTTGTTGAACTGATTCTTCAGCACTTTTATATCTTCTATCGACAACATAAATACCATATGTTTGAGGTTCTTGAACATGTTCTTCAAGAAAACATCCAAAACCACTTAAATTTGTTGAAATATTTGGTACACCCATAACAGTACATTCAGCTGGTGTATAACCCCATGGTTCATAATAAGATGGAAATACACCCAAATGACAACCACGTACAAATTCTTCATAATCAAGTGGTAATAATGGACTTGTTGAACGTAAAAATTCAGGATGAAATATAACTTTAACACGATCATAACGATCATTAAATAAATGACAACGACGTAAGGCATTTAATATTGGATCACGATTATCATCATTTACATTATGTGTACAGATTGGTGGTAATGTTGAACGCTAAATAAACGAGCGATATACTTTTTCAAGAGAATAAGATATAAAGCAAAGGTTTATACTTGTGAAGCATATATGCATTTTTTCAATTCAATTATATTGGTTGGTTCTAAAATATGTTCAGCAGATGGAAGATGACCCCTAAAGTAATCAAGAAAAAAATTATATAATCAGAAGAAAAAATATTTACTTTAAACAAATTTCATAAAGTCGTTTTCCAATATCACTTTGTATATTCTGTACTGTATCTCGAAGCATTTTTGCAACAGATTGACCACGTAATGATTCAATATTAAAATTATTTGTTGATGTTGGAAAAATAAGAAATGCTACAATAGTTATATCAGAACCAGATGCCTATAAAATCAGATAATTTCGTTAAATAAAAAAAAACGCAAATTTATTTTGTTTATTTACTTTGAGCATATGATTCAATCTAGCTAATGATTCAATAAACATATCAGCACCTTTATTAGAAAATTCATAGCGACCAGCAATGAAAAAATATAATGTTTTATCCAAATCAAAATCATAATGTCTAAATATAAGATCGAATTCTATGTATATATAAACAAAAAACTATGAATTACCCATAAAAATGTCCACGTACAAATGCATTCAGTTTTTCTTTATTTTGTGCATGTAAATTTTGAAATTCATGTAATGCAGCAAAACTTTGAACATTAAGTCCATTAGGTGTTAACATATCTAATCAAATAATATATGTATGCATACATATAATATAAATCTAAATATTTCTACCTGGAGTTTTTCCCAAAAGATATTGTGATTCAATACCAGTTATTTTTGAAACTGTTGTAAATGTATGTGCACACCATGCACCAGCACGTTCGATACAATAACGATGATAGATTTGACGATCGCCAGCTTCTTTATCAAGATTAAACTAAAAATTGAAATTTCTTTAGAAAAAAAATAAAGTAATTTATTTTCCTATACATATGGTAAATGATTGTAAAAATCTGTTGAACCAGCACATAAATATCTTCCAAGCAGTGTTGCATGTGTTGTAAATATTAAAGCACAATCATAACCACGAAGACGTGTCATTATAAGACCAATACCAGTTAACCATTCATGAAAATGAGCGATAACATAACTTTTTTGTCTTTGTTTTACTTTATCAATAAACTAGAAAATAAGATAAAAAACATTTATGAATTCTATATAAATAACTATGTTTAACTTACAATACCAAGAAACCAAAAAACACAAAAGCCAAATAATAATGCATCATTTGATTCTCTGTCATAATATGGTATACCAATTCGTGAATGTTCAAAAAAATCTCCTTTCCATCCATCTAATCGATGCGCTGCTGAGCCAATATCAAAAAGAACAACTTGTGGAAAGCCTTCAATCAACCAATTTCCAGTTACAACCTAGAATATGTTTTGTTTTCTCTATATGATAAAATAAATTTTAAATTAAAAATTTACATGAATACCATGCTGTTTCATTTCATTAACAGTTTCTCTAATAGCATCATTTTTTGATTCACTAACTTCGACTTCAGTTTTAACATATGAATCATTATATGGACCCAAACAAATATAATTATTTCCATATTCTTTTTTTGTTATAGGTACTTTGGAACGTATAACAGTATAAATTCCTCCAACTAAAATTATTTTATTTTTTGAGGAAATAAAAACAAAAGAATTCGTTTTTTATAATAACCTTTATTTGCTACTTCCCATGATACTTCTATTAACCATTTATTTAATTCTTCAGCTATTTCACCATTATCTAAATATTGATCAAAAGGAATACCTTGAGAAGTTTTTAAAGATTTTGCGGCATGTTTAATTTTTTTCGTCGACATTTTTTTTTCTATTATATACTTGGAGTATAATATCTAAAGATCCATATCAATTAAATTTATAAAAAAATATCGTAAGGAGTAAATAGATAAGATTTGTTGTACTATTTTTATTGCGTATATCTATAGATAGAACATATTCATATGGGTGAATCTATAGTGAAAACTAAGATAAAGGGAGTTCAGATTTTATAAGCTGCGAAATTTAAGAGTAAATAAAAACGTACTTGATAACCATACTATTAATATTTCTAGGTACAAAAATAAATTTGTTTATTCGTATTTATTGAATGATTATATGTAGATGGCGTCAGATGCCGTATATGGATTAACCGTTTGATTAAAAAATAAATATTAATATAGAAGAAAAAACTGTATATATCAATGTGTCTCTGCATTAAGTTTTTGTATAGAATGTACAGTATGTTTTCTTTAATTAGTTATTGAATGAATAATTATAAGACATATTTTTATTGTTTCCAAATTTCTACATGACTATTAAAAATTGCATGTTCCAATTTTCTAATTAATATTCTGTCTGATGACAACGTAAAAGAATTTAATCAGAAAATCGATGAATAATAATTACTTATTCTAAAGTTTATTTTATTTTTCGAAATGATTTAATATAATAAGATATTTCATCGAACCATCGAAGCAGTTTATATAATACAGAATGTTGAAAAAACACAATTTAACACCATAAAAGACATATTGTAATACGAAGCTAATATCAACACTTCAACTAAATCGTTTGATAATTTTCAAATCAAAAACAACAACAAAAAGGTATAAATAATAAATAGTCATCTTATCGAATTTAGTTATACAGAAAATGAATTATTCAGTTCGTTTACATGAGACAATAATTGAAATGTACTTTTGAATAATCTATCATTGCTGTATTGACCTTCATAGTTCTAAGTGGATCATATTATACTCACGCTCATAAAATTGAAAATACAACTGTAATATTTGATTATTTTTACAATACGAAAAGAACTTGGAACGAATTTAGCCTTATCTCTTCTGAATTATCGATTAAAAACCTTTACATAAATGAAATCATAATTCTATACAATCTAGATGAAAACGATGTACATTTTAGCAATTTTATAAGAACAAAAGAACTTCATCGATTGTTTAAAACCAGTTCAAATATACATTGAAATCTAATATATCGATATTATTCATCCGTCTAGTGTTCTGTCATGTTTTTATTAAGCTCTACAAAAATAGAATATATTGTCTAGAAGCTTTTTTTTCTGATTCATCATATACATCTAACAAAGCTGTTATTAATTCTGTACATAATATATTGATCAATATTTTTTATGTATTTATAAGATCGAATTTATGTATGTCAATGAGTTAAAACACAAGTAAATATTTTTGTTCTTTTTTTTTATTGCGAAGATAAAATTTTTATAAATATATAAAAATTGTATTATCAAGTATTTTCTATTTTCTATATTTTTTTAAGTTATGAAACTCTTATTATTGTTATCACTCGGTATTTTAATTGATGGAAAATATTTTGAATGTAATAAAAAAAAATCTTGTGGTTGTGGTTTTTCCAATGTTGAAATAAATGCTCGTATTATAAGTGGTGAAGAAGCAATACCATTTAGTTGGTCAATGGCTATATCAATACGCTATGATCTTCTTCATAATGGCAATGCTTTAATGCATGTTTGTGGAGGAACTATTCTTACAAATTCTTATATTTTAACTGCAGCTAATTGTGTAGAAGAAATAAAAGGTGATGTTAAACTTGCAAATCTAACTATAGCTGCTGGAATACATAGAAGATCTCAATCAAGACAAATAATACGGCAAGTTGATGAAATTATTGTTCATCCAAATTGGACAAGTTCATGGAATCAAAATCAAAATGATATTGCATTACTTCATTTATCTGAACCACTTGATTTAGAAAATAATGCTTTTATTACTCGAACATGTCTTCCATCACAAATAAATACTTCTGAAGAATTAATTCAATATCCACCAACCGGTGCAGAGTTAGCTGTTCTTGGATGGGGTCGTAGTAGTCCCTATGGAGATGATTCTGATATCTTACAACAACTAATCGTTTCTACAATCGATACTAATCATACGAAATGTAAAGATATAATCACAGATCCAAATAGACAGTTCTGTGCAGGAATACGGGATGTTAGTGCAGGTCAGAAAAATTATTTTATTTGAAATAAATGTTTATATATATATATTTGTAGGCTCTTGTTATGGTATGTGAATGAAAATTAAAAGTTATAGACATTTTGTATAATTTGTAGGTGATTTTGGTGGTCCGATACTTCAATGGATAGGAGATCATTGGCAACAGGTAGGTATTGCATCATTCACACCTGATGGCTGTGCACAAAATTCTGCTATTGGCTATACTCGACTTGCATATTATCGTAGTTGGATTGATGAACATATATCATATGATGAAGAATCTACAGAAGAAATATCCATGACAACAACTAGCACACATATAACAATATCCGACACAGCAATAAATTTGTATCAGTGTGATAAATATAAAGTACCATGTGGTTGTGGTCGTCGAAGTGTTCAATTTTCACAATCAAATATAAGTCATAATAACTATGAAGCTATACCTTATAGTTGGTCAATGATTGTTTCTATACGTTCAATTGATAAAAATAAACATTTATGTAGTGGAACAATTTTAAGTGAATCTTATATTTTAACATCAGCGTCTTGTATTGCTAATTTATCAGCATATGGTATAATAATTCTAGCTGGTATTCATAATCAATCTGAAGATAATGCAATATATAGAAAAGTTGATCAGATATATTTACATTCAAATTATACAGGAATATTAAATAATTATGTATATGATATTGCAATTTTACATATGTCTCAACCATTAGATATTGATCATAATTTATTTATTAGTCGAACATGTTTAATTGAAAAAGATGGTTTTCTATCACATCCATTCTTTTATCCAACACCTGGAACAAAATTAGCAGTTATCGGATGGGGTTTGATGAATTGTCATGATAATACTAATCATGATCTACTTCAACAAATTGAAATTTATCCTCGAATTGGTCTAGAAGATAATTGTTATATACTAGATAAATACGAAGATGTTCAGTTTTGTGCAGGATCATTAGACAATCAAAATACAGGTTGAAATTCATATTTGATATATTCTTATTATTTACTATATTTTTCTTTTTCTTTTAGTTCCATGTGTTGGTATGTATTCAAACGTTAATTATATTAAACTGTTTTTTCTCTTTTTTTTACTATGCAGGAGATCCAGGAAGTCCAATCTTTCAATGGTCTAATGATCGTTGGCAGCAAGTAGGAATTGCATCATATGTAATTGATCGTGGTCAATTTAAAAGTATAGGAATTTATACACGAACGATAGAATTCAATAATTGGATACAATCTATTATTGATAATTGTTCGACAGCATCTTCGACACAGACACCAACAACGCCTCTTGTTGATAATATTACAACCAGTATAAAACCACCGATTTTATATGAATGTAATACAACATCAACATGTGGTTGTGGTAGAATGCCTGTTGTTTTAACACCATCACGTATAGTTGGTGGTGAAGATGCAAGGGAACTTAGTTGGCCAATGGTCGTTTCTTTACGTTGGTCAGATCCTAATAGTCATTGGTGTGGTGGAAGTATATTATCTGATTCATATATTCTTACAGCTGCTCATTGCCTTCATGGTTATGCATCAAATCCACCGATTGATGTTACAATTGTAGCCGGTATGACAAATCTTTCAGATCCAAAACAAATTCGACGTACCATTGATCATATCTATATACATTCAGAATATATTGGCGTGCAAAATCGCTTTCGTCATGATATTGCTGTATTACATTTAAATCAATCGTTAATAACAGAAAATAATCCATATTTAACAAAAACATGTATACATCCTGTTAATCCACCAACAGTAAATAATCAAAATATTAAAAATGGGACGCGTCTTGCTGTTATTGGATGGGGTACAATGGGATCTGGTGTTTCTCTTGATCCAATAATTCTTCAACAAGCTGAAGTTTTTGCAATTGATAATAATGATCCTATATGTACACAGACGATGAATGATTCTGAAATACAATTCTGTGCTGGATTACGAGAAGGTGGAAAAGATTCATGTCAAGGAGATTCAGGTGGACCAATATTTCAATGGACAGGAGGATATTGGGAACAAGTAGGAATTGTCTCGTATGGAAACGGTTGTGCAGAACCTAATGACCCAGGTGTTTATGTTCGATTATCATATTATTACAACTGGATAAATGATATTCTTAAAAATGATAATGAACATACTGAACCGAAACCTTTACCTGATACAACTACAACAACAACGACAGATGAAACATTACAAACTACGACGAGCGGTTCTTACAATCATCTAAAAAATACATTTACATTTGCAATAATTATTTATCTGTTCAGTATAATTCTATAATAAACATTTTATTTGAGATTGTATTTTTTCTCACTTGTTATGAATGCAATAGTTATTTTCATTGTGAGTTAAGGTGAAGATTATTTTTACGACATAACGACATACCACAATAGTAATGAATATTGATTATCTGGCATAAGACAGTTTTAAATAGACTAATATATAGGCCTGTGACAATTCTATTATTTATTTGTTTGTTGACACCTGAGTTGTTATATTTCCCCTTTATATTTCACTCAAAAATCTCAAATGTTTGTAAATTATGTAAGCACACAAAAAGCTCAGCTTTTCCCTCCTTGCTTCTCTCTCGCAACTAGAGGGTGTGGGCCTCCCCTACACTCACACCCACATGCGTTATACAACAAAGACGATAAAAAAACAACAATATGCACCACTAAGGATTCGTATGATATGCATGAAATAATGATGTATTAGAACTGAAATTGAGTTAAAAATGAAAAGCAGATAATATTTTAAAAAGCAGCAAAAAAATTGAAAAAGCAGAAAAAGTGGCAACCTGGGTCGCAAAGTTTTGTGGAAATTCTTAATATATAGTGAAAATTAATGTTAGTCTGTATTGTGTAATGTTTTATAAGAGTAATGTGCTTAGTAGAGTAGTAAAGTGTTAATGAATAAATAAAGATTAGCCATCGATAAGCCTTAAGAATGCAAGAGAACACTGACAATGCTCGAAATCTCGCTTGTAACAATAATATCAGGTTTATTGTCACTATTCACATCAACCACTGCTACTGATTGAGGGGCATAGCCAAGTGTGTAGGTAGTTTGAGCATTAAAGGTGCCAGTGCCTGTGTTAAGAAGAACACCGACGTTGTTCGAACCATAGTTTGCAACAACAATATCGGGTTTACTGTCGTTATTTACATCGACGACTGCTAGTGCTTGAGGTTCATTACTAACTGAGTAAGTGGTTTGAGCATTAAAGGTACCATTTCCTGTGTTGAGAAGAACGCCGACAGTGCCTGAACCCGAACCAACATTTACAACAATAATATCGGATTTATTGTCGCTATTTACATCGACGACTGCTACTACTTGAGGGCTACTACCAACTGTGTAATTCGTTTGAGTATTAAAGATGCCGTTGCCTGTATTGAGAAGAACACCAACCGTGCTCGAACCACCGTTCGCAACAACAATATCGGATTTATTGTCGTTATTCACATCGCCAACTGCTACTGACTCTGGGTGAATACCAACTGAGTAAGTATTTTGAGTATTAAAGGTGCCGCTGCCTGTGTTGAGAAGAACATTGATGGTGTTCGCACCATAGTTCGTAACAACGATATCGGGTTTATTGTCGCTGTTCACATCGGCAACTGCTACTGATGTTGGGTTAGTACCAACTGAGTAACTAGTTTCAGCATTAAAATTGCCGCTGCCTGCGTTGATAAGAACACTGATGGTGCTCGCAAGAAGATTTCCAACAACAATATCTGGTTTGTTGTCACTATTCAGATCGACGACTGCTATTGATTCTGGATTATTATCAACTGAGTAAGTAGAGTGAACATTAAAGGTGCCGCCACCTAAGTTAAGAAGAATGCTGACGGTGTTCGCACCATAGTTCGCAACAACAATATCGGGTTTGTTATCACTGTTCACATCCACGACTGCTACTGCTGTTGGATTAGCAACTGAGTAAATAGTTTGATTAAGAAACATACTGCCGACTATTAAATACAAAAAGTTTGCTGTCACATGTGTACTGGCATATAAACAGTATTCAATTGTCGTATTTTATTCAATCTTTGAGAGTTTAACTTAATTGAATATGATTTATTCGAAAAGATCATATCACAGACTTTTGGGCAATTTCAGATATTCTGGAGTACAAATAAAGTCAGTTTTCAGTCCGTCAGTCTATCTCTATGTGAAACCTTCTCGTAAATTTGAAAAAACAACGAAGTCACCTCACTCTACTCAAAACTTAGGCTCTCTTTAATAAAGTTTCATGATATCCTCGACTAAGAGGACGTAGAATACCTTCCAAGCAGAATTCAGAATGTCGTACACTTGTCCAGAATTTCATTTCAACATATATATGTCATACTTTTATTAAAGTTGCATTGTAACATGAAATCCTATAAACAATATGATAATTCTGTGTCACATAAACTAGCCATATGTCTACACAATTCTAAATCCTACTTTTCAAGTATTTTACAACTACCTCTGCATCCACACCCTATTCTCGTTCTCGTTGAGAATAGTTCAACAAAAAAATAAGGTATCTGTTTGCGTTATTACTGTTCTGTTTTTCAGTGTTTCACATAGATATGCACGGAGTTAAAAGCGGAGTCTACTAGATGCAGTATCAATAAAAAAGCTGAGCATTGCAGTTTGTATTTATTGTAAGTTGTGTTCTCCAATTCTTACTCTACAAATGGATATACTTTTTAGATTCGATTACTGTTCTCTCGTGACTTTATATATGCAAAACAGATCGGTGTCAGTGTTGACTCTGCCGTTTTTTTCAGTTCACAGTCTCCAGGAAACAGCAACTGAATTTGAGAGATACGTCAGTTAGTAGTGTAAATATCGAAGAACGCAAATCACAATCAATAAAACTTCTAATGCTTAGTCTGGTTTATTAGTTCAACATCTAATAGACTCCGTACAGCCCCCAACTGATTAATTAAAAACCATTTCGAGAGAAAAAATGGAGGGCGCGAGTGGACAAGATAAAATACGAGCCGGCGAAGAGTAACCAGAGGAAAGGCAAAAACAACATGGCTTAATTCTTGCTGATAAAATCTTCGTTATGCTACTATACTCTAGTGCTATTTTACTATTGACCGTTTTTTTCTAAAAAAAGTAATCGTCAGTGATACGTCTGAATCAACGTCAGTTTTTTATGTCGGCTCTTGCAGCGGAGGTCTCTACCATCAGCGTGATGATTACGATGTGTTACGTCAAGAAATAACGCTTCTACAAGAGACAACTGCGCGAATGTTCAGGCAAGTGTCATTTGTTCATCGACATCATAAATCTTTAAAAGGTTAACTCTCAAACTTTTAAATTTGGTTAGTGAAATAAATCATCGATTTGAAACCTGCAAAAACGTACAACACATTATCTAGCATACTACTGACCGGCTGTTGTTGTTGATGATGTTGATGATGTTGAAGTAGTGGTTGTTGATGATGTTGACGATGTTGATGGTGATGTTGATGATGAGGTTGTTGTCGATGTTGATGATGAGGTTGTTGTCGATGTTGATGATGTTGATGATGAAGTAGTAGTTGTAGTTGTTGTTGTTGATGTAGTTGACGATGTGGATGATGTTGATGACGAAGTAGTAGTAGTGGTTGTTGATGTTGACGATGTGGATGATGTCGATGACGAAGTAGTAGTAGTGGTTGTTGTTGTTGACGATGTGGATGATGACGTGGATGATGTTGTTGATGTTGATGTTGATGATGAAGTAGATGATGATGTGGTTGTTGATGTCGTAGTCGGTTCTATTTTAGAAAAATAAGATTGAGGGTTTCGGCGTGAGACGGAATATTCTTTAATCTTTACACTCATACTGTCAAGATAGATGTTCATATTGAAGAAGATCTATATCCACACCCACACTCAACTATGCCAAGAGTCTCTTAAGATTATTTTAGTGCGATACAAGAAATCTAATGGAATGACTTTCGAGAGTATATCATCTTGAGGGTGCGGATGTGAGTATGTATAGAATGTATCTCTCATCCAAATTCATCTAGAGTATCCCCACTGTGCTTATAGTATTCAAGTTGAAAGGTATATAGAAACACTAGGTATCATTTTATATTGATCAGCTCTTTTTATATGGGCAGTTACATGACTCATTTGGTTGGAGTTTGTGGCTTCTGGTAGTTGATCAATCCCTAAAAGATAGGACTAAGTCAAGCAATAAAGAAGAGGCTAATTGATCTCTCTAATTGTAATATCGTCTGTAATATTCTAAAAGCAATCCTATGAATATGCAGCTAGTGGGAGGTTTTAGAAAACACTTTTTTCGATACATTTACTAGTATTTTTCGATGAATGTAAAAAAGAAAAAGAGTTTTTTCTCTTAGGTATATCTTTTTTTGAGAAGTTGCAGTTGCACTAACCTGGTGGTACTCGTGTACCATCAATGACAATCATCGTAACAGCATCCATATTAGCTAATAGATTGCCATTCTGGTTTGATATATCAGCAAACAATTCACAATCAGAAGGCGACCGATGAAAAGTGACTGCGTGACAATGAACTTGAGCTAAACAAGCCATTTGACATCGGCGGATGTTCGGTACAATAATAGTGGCATACGGTAAACACGTTGTGTTAAAACATTGGAATTGCCAACCAGTGTTGGTAGACATGCGAAGTAATCGCATATCTTGTGTGACTGCTTGTACAACCAGAAGCAATAGAAGAAGTAGAGGATTTCTTCTACCCCTCACCCCCATAACCAACAAAACGTTAGCTAAGGGAAAAATTTTACTCTGAATAAAATGCGTTGCAAAGACATAGCATTAAATACCATTTCAGTTTTTCTCTTTTTCTCTCTCTTTTCTCACATCAAAGATATTTTCTTCATTCATCAGTCCGATAGAAAACTATTTATGACTTTTTTTTGTCAGGAATGTGTAGCAGAGCTTCACTTTCAAATATCATGTATTTAGAAAGATGATTGTTTTCCGTAGTTGATGTGCAGACAGAAGATAAAATAAATATATTTAACGGTCTTATTTTATGTGCAGTATTCGTTTAGCTTTTATAATATAAGATCACTTTATATTAAATTTAATTCCGTATGTTAACATAAGAAACCCTTTATGAAATAAATCAATTAAGAGAAACTGCTTTTCAGCATTGTAAAGTAACTTCAATAATTCTACATCTTTACGACTAATTAGATATTTTTCTTCGAACGAATCATGTCCCGTTCAACAGTATAGTGTCTGTTCTTTCTTTTTTTTTAGTTTTATGCTGTTATGATATGAAATGTGTACACAACACAAAATTTATTTTAAAGTAATTTGATTCTTTTCTATATAAACGTTTGAAAAATATACATTTTGTGCAGTGACGTTTTCCTGTTATAATCAGAATTATGGAAATTATATCGCCAAAAAAAGCTCTGTGTTACAAAAAAGGATGGTATCAAATTTCAGCTAATGTTAGAAGAAAAACACCGTTACTATGACGTTGTAACTTTCTTTATACATTTTATTTAGCAAAATTAATGCACATACTCTTTATAGTTTTGAATATATTATATATCATTGTCATATGTTCTCTTTTATTCATGAGTCTCTAGATCTGGAAGATCTAAATTAGTGAGATACTTCTGAAAACATTTCTCCATATTGCAGCTATGTTTCTTCGTTTTCAAATATCATAGATATTTTTTCATTTCATCAGTGCGATGGAAAACTAGTTATGACTTTTTTTTGTCAGGAATGTGTAGTAGAGTTTAACTTTGAAATATCATGCATTTAGAAATATGATTTTTTTTATTTCATCAGTATGATGAAAAAAAAATGTTTGCACTTTTTTTGTCAGGATTGTGTAGTAGAGTTTAACTTTGAACAAGTCATGCATCTAAAGTGATGATTTTCTTTTGCGTAGTTCATGTGCAGGTGGAAAAGAAAAATACGTATATCATAAAATCTTGTTTTATGCACAGACAATGATCACTTCATCTTTTTATAATATGAGACCAGTGTATATTAAATTTAATTCGATATGTCAACATAAGAAACGCTTTATCAAATAAATCAAATAAGTGAAACTACTTTTCAGCATTCTAAAGGAACTTCCATAATTCTTCATCTTAACAAATAATCAGCCATTTTCTTCAAATAAAATATGTCTCGTTCAATAGAATGATGTCTGTTCTTTTTTTTAGTTTTATGTCGTAATAATGTAAAATGTGTACACAACAAAAAAGCTATCTGAAGATAATTTCACTTCATTTTCCAAAGAACCGTTAGAAGAAAATACACTGCACAATGATGTTTGTCTGTTATAATCAGAATAATGAAAATTGCATCGTCGATGAAAACTGTGTTTCAAAAAAGAATGGAAAAAAAATGCATCGTCACTATGCTATTTGGAAAATTAACAACAATGTTTATGACGTCTTTACTTTCTTTATAGATTGTGTTTAACAAAATGAATACAAATACTCTTTAGAGTTTTGAATATGTTGTACATCACTGTGGTATTTTCTCTTTTGTTCATAAGTCTCTGCATCCGTAAGATCTGAACTTGCGAGAAAAATTTTGAATTCTTCCTGCATATTACAACTATGAGAAATAACAAACACAGAACACTTAAGATCTACATTCGAAATCTAGAGAATAAGAGGCATCCAGAATACTCCTAACAATTTAACCACATAGAAAATTCATGCAGTCGATGAAGCCGAAGAATTGTGAAAACTCTAGAAACGCAAAAAATCAACGTCTTCTTTTATTTTTCAAGTTAAGAAGATTTATTCTGAATAAATAAACATATATAAAGCTATTAATCAATACAAGAAATACTAATTTTTTTCAATTTTATTTTGTGTTAAATCGAGGAGAAACCAGCGAAAATAAACAAAAAAGATACATATATCAGAAATAATAAATTTTGTAACAAGAGTCATTTCGATTTTTTTTCTTTTTTATCAAACTAATGTGGAAATAGCGATGTAGTTTTATAATAAGTATTATGAAGATATTATATTTATAATTGAAGACAAAAAAAAACGTTAAAAGAATACAGATTTTGCTTCATAATAGATACTATGAAGATATTACATCACAATGACAGACAAAAACCTTGTAGAAATACAGAAAGAATTAACAGAATGGTTTAACAAACAGGAAGGGGGAAAAGGGAAAAAAACCTTCTTGCTAAAGAAGTATAGTTCACAATGAATAAGTGATAATATGAAGCGATAAATCCACGTGAGTAGATTTGTTCATGAAACAGGAGGAACCTTCTAAACTTGATAGATACTTTTTATAGAATACTTAAGATACTTAGTGAATTGAAATAGAAAATATTCTGTCGATCATAATCCAAAATCTTTGATCAAAATAAACTACACTGAGAACACTAAAAATCGAATCATAATTGAATTGACTTTTTTACTATAAAGAACTACTCATAACTAAAGTTTTCATATGAGAAATTGTAGTTTCTATATAAATCATAATTTTATTCATAAGCGACTTCTATCAGTATTGTTTTTGGACATTTGTTACTATTCTTGGCTCGTTATTCGATGATTTTTGTTTACCATCAAAATTTATTTTCAGTTGAATACAATAGATCAAATTGCTTTTAGAGAACAATTTTATTTATAACAATCATATAAATCAGGCATAGTAAATTTTTTGATATTCTTTTAAAAGTATTAATACACTCCTATGAACAATATTAAAAAGAAATACTTAATTTTATTAATCAACGAACAATGTTTTCAAGAACAAGAAATTATGATAGTCATTAATTGATATTCACGTGAGACTAAAGTAAATTACAAAATAAGTAATTCGTTAATATTTTAATTTATCAATTATCAATTATAGATCAGCAGTGGTCAGATGTTTGATCGGTGAGAAAAATAATTATTTTCAGCGAAAAAATGATGCTGAAGTGAACAATGTATAAGATTCATGAAAATAGTGATCAAAATAATACGTAGAAAAATGTTTCTAGATACGACTGTATAGTAAGGAAAAATGATTTCTACTGATAGGGGAAATGATACACGGGAAAGAAAAATTGCCTTTCATTATAACTGTATATACGCATCCAATTGTAAGGGAAAATGATTTAGAAAAATGGATAAATGTATTAACTATGAGAAATATTATTTCTATACATGACTTATTTATATAATATCTCTAGCGGAAAAACGATATGTTAAAAGGAAAAATCTTGAGGGTGTAGGCGTCGGCGTTGTGGTCATTTTATACCCAGACTCAGACACACAACCATCCTCACGGACTGCCTAAATATCCCATAATAGCAATAAAAAAGAAAGAACAAAGTAGTTATCTTTCGTCGCCGAAATGTTGTGTCGACGAAACGCTCTTTCGACGAAATGTCTTTCGACAAAAAACATAAAATTCGAAAAATGTAATATTAAGATAAGAAGAGTGAGACTGTGAGAAAACCTAGACATGGAGCACAGATCTGCACTATCATGCTCGCATGTGAAGTATATTATACTAAGATAAGAGTATAATAACACCTTTGATGTTGGAAATAATATTAGTTATCTTCTGTTACTTATGTAAGAGTAATAGACAAACAGAAAGTAGCTTCGAACAATAGTGTACTCTTTTTTCTCCGTTTAAGTTACATCTAAAACCTAATATGCACACCAACCAGGTTTACAGTGAGCTTGTTACTGTGCATAATGGATCACACAAATGGTGGCACCGTCGTTGGTTCAAAATAATCGGCATTTTCGTTATTATTTTAATAGTCTTTGGTGTTGTCCTTGCTCTGGTGTTAAATTTCGTCGTTTTTGCACCGAAGAAATTAGAAACTAGTACCATCGCCACAACATCATCATCATCATCACCACTAACAACAACAATACCAATACCATCATCATTAACAACAACAATATCAACAACACCAACAGTGACATCGACCACAACTGTCCCACGAACAGTAACAACAACACCATTAGTGGTATCGACCACAATCTTACCACAAACAGCAACAATGACACCACCATTGACATCGACGACAACACTACCACCAACAACGGTTACAACCACAACGCAGCAGCCAGGTAAGCTTCAGAGTAACCTTTTCCGATCTCTTTAAATGGTACTTTTTAATCAGATATAAGTAGTTGCTTTGCGTCCAACAGTTTTCTATATCTAACTAAAAGTTACATTAAAAGAACAGTGATCTTGTCATGAGTGATTCAAGCGTTAACTTAAGAAGAGGCGAAGATATAATAATCGCTGCATTCGCTATTTTTCATCACGATCAAAGCTTACGTAGTTTTCTTGTCATCAATGCAACCAAATCTGCTTTTTCTCTTCGTTTGATATCACTACATACCCTACTTTTAAGTATAAAGAGAACACAAAAAAATTCATTTTGTATCAATGGAGTGCATGAATATCTGTCGCGCTCGGAAACACCAGTGAATTCTCCTTCTCTCTCTTTCGTGTGTAAATATAAATAGCTATATATAATGAAAAGTGCATTGATTCTTATAAACATTGTAACGATAAGTATTAAATACAAATCTGTTTCATATGTCATCCTCGCATACCATTCTTTACCAAAAATGCGAAACTTATTTTCATACTGTATAAAGAACGATTTTTTACAACAAATTTAAGTCTTTTTTGCATTTCCCAAAAAGTTCGAAAAATTTTGTATGGAAAGTAAGAAACGATTTTCATTTTACAAAATCAAAAACTTCCCGCACATCATTACATCATTTGAGATTTCTAAAAGAGACAGTCTTTCGAGAATGAATACAATCAAATATTTCTGTCTAGAATGGTCTGTTACCGGTAATATGAATACTGCACGAGTTTATCATACAGCATCTGTATTACCAAATGGAAAAGTATTAGTTACTGGTGGGAACCATGGATCTACTGATTTTTTTAATATTACAGAATTGTATGATCCAACAACACGTACTTGGACAATTACTGGTAGCATGATTAATGGGCGATATGATCACACAGCATCTGTATTATCAAATGGAAAAGTATTAGTTACTGGTGGCGATAGTTGGGGTGGTTATTTAAATAAGGCTGAGCTGTATGATCCATCGACAAGTGCTTGGACAACTACTGGTAACATGACTAACGGACGAGCTGGTCACGCAGCATCTGTATTATCAAATGGAAATGTGTTAGTTACTGGTGGATGGAATGGTGGTTATTTAAATAGTGCTGAATTGTATGATCCATCGACAAGTGCTTGGACAACTACTGGTAACATGACTAAAGGACGAGCTGGTCATGCAACATCTGTATTATCAAATGGAAAAGTATTAGCTACTGGTGGTCAAGACAATAGTGGTAATATTTTTAATAATGCTGAACTGTATGATCCATCAACAGATACTTGGACAATTACTAGTAATATGAGTGATGAACGATATCGTCACACAGCATCTGTATTATCAAATGGAAAAGTACTAGTTATTGGTGGAATGCGTTTGGATAGTAATGTATATAGTACTGTATATAGTGCTGAGCTGTATGATCCATCGACAAGTACTTGGACAACTACTGGTAACATGACTAAAGGACGAGCTGGTCACGCAGCATCTGTATTATCAAATGGACTGCTATTGGCTACTGGTGGATATGATAATGATTATTTAAATATTGCAGAATTGTATGATCCATCGACAGGTACTTGGACAACTACTGGTAACATGACTAATGCACGAGATTATCACACAGCATCCATATTATCAAATGGAAATGTATTAGTTACTGGCGGTATGGGCATTGGAAATATTGCTTTAGATAGTGCAGAATTATATGAATTATTTGAAACAAATTGACTTTCAGTTATCTTACTCTGTTTCTTACAAGTAATTCAAATTCCAAACAATATTTTAGCTAGAAGTACTGTCAGCTTGTGATGTTCGCTAACTGTTTTCTTTGGTGCTTTTGCTGGATTATCAAACTCTAATATTCGATCCCAAATAAAAAAGAATATTTTTGTGCTTTTACTCTCGTAGATTATTTTATTATGATTAACAAAAGTTACAACTGACGGTGGGTGTGGGTGTGGGTGTGGGGAGTGAGTGTGAGCGTTAGTGTGGATTAGGATTGGGTGTAGGTGCAGGTATTGGTATGGATGTGGGTGAGTGTAAGTGTTGGTGTGGTTGTGGGTATGGGTGAGGTTGTGGTTGAGATTAAGAGAAGAGATACTTACACCCATACCCGTCCCCAAGTTTTTTTCAATGGGAACATTTTAATGATTTATGAGTTCAGACATAATCGAATACTTCTCGAGGGGTAGCTAATCCTAAACTATATTTATAATGCTTTTTATTTGAAACTAATTTTTGAGCTTGAAAATAATGTTGGATAGTTGGCCAAGGGTATTTATCTAATTGAATTGAAGCCAAATAAAAATTACTAAATTCCCAGTACAGCTTATAATGGGAATAGAAATGAATAGGTATATTCGTCATATTGTTTTTTTGTTAAAATCGTATGTTCTATAATATGAAAAGCTTCGTTTCTTTCGTTTTTTGTCATATGTTGTAAATATATAAAGAAAGATACAAATGTTTTTTTTTCCCATGACGATAAATGCAGCAAACATTCTTTTTTCTTTCCATAATTTTTAAAAGTCATAGTATTGGAAATATATACAAACTGCTCGGACAAATAGCAAACTACTCAGTAATTTAACTTATGTGTCAATATTTTTGTAGAAAATGTATGTGTGTAGATTTTGTCTTCATGTTTATCCTTATTCTTTACGCGTATGTTGTCTACACACACTTGATCGTAAGCTAAGTAAGATTTTGGCATAATTCAATATTGAAGAGTTTAGGTCATTTACAACTGTATGCTCAGATAAAGTGAATAAGATCTTTTATATAATTTATTTATTACTAACTGATAAACTTATTAAAACTAGACCTGCGACAGTTCTATATCAATTCTCATTGTTGGAACTTTAAGAAGCTTTTTTGATAAGAACTGAACTGAACTATTCTATTCTTTATTTGTTGACATCTGAATTGTTATCATAATTTGTTTCGATGAATCTATTGTGACGATGCGAAATAGTGCTTTTTTATCGTGTGCTTGAACATCATCGCACATGATCGAAAAGCCGAATTTTAATACAAAAACGATTGAATAAAATTATAAAATATCACTACTTTTCATATACTTTATATCAGTATTGTCCCCTACAATATATATGAATAAAAACATACCGTTGTGTCTCTTTTTTATTGATCGTACATTCTTCTTTATCACTTCGATCAATACCACTTGTCTCTTCTTTTTCGCATTATACATATTCTCTCTTTACTAAGACAAATAGATTCATATATGATCCGCTTCTTTATATTCTAAGAGATGTTACACAGTGCGGCTGTTATCAAGATTAATACAAAGCAGCGGATATCAGTACTAGCATAGGTTTCCTATTAAATTAGAATTATACTCAAACAAAAATCTAAATATATCCGCAAGACATCATGTTGCTCATGATATGCAATTTTTTTGAAATATCGGCTGTAGTATATAATCGAAAATATCATAGAAAAGAAAAACTAACTTTTCATATTATTGAGATCCTATGGAGAGATAGTCTAATGGGCCATCTCTCTTCAAAATCAATCTCAGTCAAGGTAAAAACGGAAGCAGCCAAAACTTGACGGTTATGCTCGGGCTGCAGTCGAACATCAATGGTAAAAATTTTGAGCTTTATAGTATGTAGTTAAAATAAATAAATAGTAAAATTCTTTTCGGCGAAAGAGTCGAACTTATGAATCTGAAATGTCACAAGCCTAACTAATAAACATCATTAAATAAAAATGAATTATAAAACAGTATAATTAATATTTATTTCGTATTTTTTTTCGACCTTGATGAACATGCCAAAAAACGTATAGTTCCAGTCTTGGAAATAAAGAACTAATAGAAGGATATTAACTTCACTACCAAGTCTCTAAGAACAACAATAACAAGTTCACCGACATCATTTACTATATTTCAAAATGAACTAATTGTTAATTAATATTCAATTTGATTGCTTAATAGATCAGCACATAACTGCCGAAGACACACATCTTTTTTTCTTACTTTCTATAATGATTAATTTATCCGAGACTTACTAATATATAAATACAATAAGAACAATAGATTAAATGATCTAATCGATAATTTATCTATCACAAGAATAATTAGTGAACAAAGATGTCTCTCATAGTTATAAGGAAAACTCTGTTTGTCTTCTATTGGTTTTTTTCCAATTTTTGTCGGTTTCCTAGGAATAAAAAAACCGTCCGCCATTCATCACACTTCTTTTTTCTTTCAAACTACTTGGAGTAAAATTTAATTCTAGTAATGGCAAGTACTTTACCACCTTATATAAAATACTTGTCGGCTATTGTATTGATCTTTGGTATACTTTATAAATATGAAATTCCTACAACTGATAATAAAACATTTTTATTAACAAAAAAATCTACATTGCAATATAATAAATCACATGTCTATCAGATAATAACAAATATCGATCGTTATGCATTGGTTTGTTATTCAAAAAAATAACTATAAAACTTTTTTTTCTGTTTATGAATCTTTCATTTAGTGGTATCCGAATGTAGCTCGTGTTGAACAGAGCAAACCAATATCATCCGGATCTAAAAAACAGGTCGATGGCAAATATCAATTGATTACTAAAATACCTTTGATTGGTTTGTATTTAATTTAAATTAAGAAAAGTTTTTTTGAACAAATTTATAAATAGGTGATATATCATCGGAATTAACTATTCATACAAAGGATCGACCAAAACGATTTGTTTATTCAGTTGATTCATGGTTACTTGAAATAAATTCAATTGAATTAAAAGATAATTCAAATAATATCAATTCAACTGATATTCAATGGACCGTATATACAAAACGACGTAGTATGCTTTTTCAGGTAAATAAAAATATTAATATGTTTATTTTATTTAATTGATGTTCTTTTTCTTTTAGTATTTAATTTTACCATTTGCTAAATTTTATAAAAATCAACTTGTTCGCGAAGCACTCTTTACTCTCATGCTTCAAATTCGTAATCTTTAATTGTGATAATGATAAACACTGATTAATTTTTGCTTTTGTTTTGTGATATAACGTCAAATACTATAAACTAATAAATAAATTTATACTAGCTTGATATTAAAATCTTAACTAAAGAAAATACTTCATAACATGATGACACTAGTAGTTTTTTTTTCATAATTTACCGAAGAAAAACAAATAATCAATATTGATTTAAGATTGAAAATATATCTGCTAAAACACATAATATGTAACTTGAATGGTCGGAATGTGTGAATTACGTTATCTACTTTTACTTTAATTTACTAGAAATTAAAAAGATGCCTATGGTGGGTCTCGATCCCACGACTTTCGCGTTACTCAATACTGTTATCAACTGATTTACACGGGCAATGAAAGAATTTCAAAACGTTCAAAAAGATTTAATTGATGTATCTCTTTGAGTGACAGATGACACACCCTTATCAACAGGTCACAAATGTTCATAGCAGGAGACTTATGTTTTTAATGATCATCAATTTGTATAAGATGCTCGTGGGCTGATTAAATGTCAATCAATACTATGTATGTCGAAAAGTCAACGCCCTCTATCACGTGAAACATTCATGTAATTCATCATAAATAAGAGTTATTTAAAAGTATATTATGTTCTATAAATTTTTATTTTAATAATCACAACACAAATAAACACTACATAAATATTTTTCACTGTCTAATACTGTTATTCTAAACCACAACTTCATAAACAGTTTTTTTATTCAATTGATCAAATTTTAATGGTGTTGAATAGATATTTTCAGTATTATTATCTTCTTTAGTTTTTATTGCATAAAATGGAAAACCATAATTTATATTTTCATTTTGAGAGGTATGTAAATGATGATCAGATTGATTAAAATCTGTTACTGTTAAGTGTTCACTATTTGATAATGAAGTTATTATCGGATCATTTGAATCATTGCATAGATTTCCTTTAAAAAAAAAAGATTTATTATTTGTAAACTAAAAATATTTCGAAAAAAGAGATATACCTTGAAGTTGATCAAGTTTTAAATAAGATGATGGTTTTGGTTGTTGTTCAGGATATGTTACATTTGAAAAGAATTTTGTTGAGTTATTATTTGGAATTGATTCAATAATAATTGGACTTTGAGAAGATTTTTTACTAACTATACTAACTAAATATAAATAAATGCATGAAAATATTTGAATGAAATATCTAATCTAACACAAATAAATGAATCACATTTCTCGGGTTAAACAACTGGGTAGAAATTCTCAAAAAAGGTCAATATATGTAGGATTCTAACCTAGGGTATGAGTTGCATTTCGTCGTTGTTTACGATTAAATATGAAACAAAATATACAAAGTCCACATAGAATAAGTAGAGAAACAACGATGATTGATGATACTAATATAAATATCCAATTGAAAGATGTTTCACGTTCTAAAATATATATACATATTATATGAAATGAAGAACAATAAAAATATTTTTTTAAATTACTTATATCAACTGAAATACTATCTCCACAAAAATGTTCATATTGATTAAGACATATTGATACATAAAGTATATTATTTAAATCAATTTCATCTAATTTTATAAGTCCACTTGATGTTACAATACGTTGACATATATATGTTTGATTTGTGATTTCAATTCGAATACATAATGGAATTTTAATTGTTGAAAAACTTGTATCATTTAAACCGTAATGTAGAGTTTTTTCAAATAAATATATTGATGAATGTTCAAGAATTGATAAATCTAATAATATAAAAAAAGATTTTAATACAAGAATAATTATACATATTTAATTAACCTTCTCTTTTTATTGGTAGATCTTTTGTTTGAACACGAAGAAATGCATTCGTTGAACTTTGTCCTAGTTTATTATAAGCACGAACAGTTATATTGTAATATTCCAAATGTTGAAGATCTAAATCATAATAGAAAACTTAGAAAAGTATATTTCAAGTATCAATGTGTTATTATGAATTAATGAGATTTTATTCAATTATAAAAATATCGCATTTGTCGATATTCATGAAGTTTTACAACTATAGAACTTACTCGTTAATGTAAAATATGTTTGATTAGTTTCTTTCCATAGAGAATTATCAAGTGATATCCAAAATGATTGTGGCCATCCACCATTATATCCAGCTTTCCATTCTAAACTAATTGTTGAATAACTAATACTTGTTATATTTAAATCCGTAGGAGAATCAGGTACATCTAAATATAAAAATAACATATTGGTTTAATATTTCCCAGAAATAAAGAGCAGCTGTCATAGAAATGATTGATTGATAAGCTATTAATACAGGAAAAATCTCCCTTCTGTGAACAGTTGGAAGTATATGTCTATATGATATGATAATGATCGATAAAAGAGCAAACACAGTATGAAATACGATTCGAACTTAAGATTAAAGTGTATGTCAATATACCTTTTGATCTCAGTTGGATAGTTGTAGAATTATATCCTAATTTATTGTTTGCATTACATGAATAAATTCCATAATCTGTATTTGATTGAATTTGTTGAAGAATTAAATATGATAAAGATTGATTTTGTATCATGAAATATTTTGTTGAATTTAATAAAAATTTATTTTGAAATTTCCAACGTATTTCCGATTTTGGATATGAATCAATTTCACATTGAAATTTTATATTTGTTTCACGAATATCAGCAGCTATTATTGAATCTATTGTATAAACTTTTGGAGCATCTAAAAACAAAAAAAATCGTCTATATATTTATCAAGAAACACTATGTCCTACATTGTACAATAATTTCTGTTTGTGATTTATTAAATTTTTCAATTGAACTTCCATTTGAATATTTCAGCGTATTTTTTACCATACATACATAATTTCCTGAATCATATTTTGATACTTTTTCAATAATTATCGATGATGTTAATGAACTTGTATTTAATTTTTCATTATTCTTATACCATTGATAATAATCAATCATTGGATAAGATTTAACATTGCATATTAATATTAATTTTTCACTTTCATTTATTATTCCACCACCGTTAATTTCAACAATAGGTGAATCTATTTAATACAAGAAATAGTTTTTTTTTAATTTCAAAATGAATTTTTTACATTGAACACGTATATATACTGATGAATGACTTTGACCAATTGAGTTTGTTGATGAACATGTATATTCTCCATCATCAGTACGTTTTATAGATTGTAATGTCAATGAAGAAGAAGTATTACCTTCAAAAACAAAACACGAATAGCAGAAAATTTAGAAAAATAATAAACAAACTTGAAATTAATACACCGTTTTTTAACCAAACTAATGGTTTTGTGGGCGATGGATTTGAATCAATTGCACAATCGATTGTAAATTGTTCATTTTCAGTAAAAATTAAATTAAGATTTGAAATATTTTTACCATTAGCACGTAAACGAACTTCTGGTTTATCTAATTTAAACAAAAACAAAATATTTTTAAAATAAATAAAATTTTTTTTTAATTACGTAAGATATTTAATGCAAAGGAAGTTATCAATGGTTTATCTAAAGCTTGATTTTGTACTTGACAAGTTAATGAACTATTATGTAAATGTTTTTCCAATGGTAAATATAATTCACTATATGATTTCGATGTATTTAAATAATTTTTATACAATGATCTAATTAAAAAAAAAGATACATTACGAAGAAACAAAAATCTTTCATTATTACTCATTGATTTTAATTTCATTAATTAACCAATTAAATGTTGGTAATGGATTTCCACCTTGTGTTATACAAAGAAATCTTCCTAGATGATTCTCAATTAAACTTGCATTTAATTGTTGAAGATCTGGTTGTGTTGGTTTAGCTATAAAATAAAATGTTATACTAACAATAGTTTATATTATAGATTAGAAGATATGTATAACCTTGTTAGACATAATTAGAAACAATTAACAAACAGTCAGATATCAATTTTCTGCTCTATCAATTTCAAGGTACAACTATCCAGCTGTTTAAATGTCATATACATACTTAAAACAGTCAATAGAACATTGATTGATAAAGCTTGATCAAAATTTTGACATAAATATCGTCCACTATCTTGATCAACTACTGTTTTTATAATTAAATCATATTTATCAGTTATTTCATATTTTTTTCGTTCACCAGATATATCTTTATTGACAGATATAACAGTATCACCTTTTAACCTATTTATTAATTTAATTAGAAGAAACAAAAAAATATATATTTCATCTTCTTACCACATAACACGATCACGTTCATTTAATTGTTGAAATCGACATGAAAGTACGACATCATGACCTTGTTTTTCAGTAATTGTTCTTGAATCAACTATTTTTGATGCTTCAATTAATTGAGTAATCAATAAAAAGACTAAATTAAATTTTATAATAGATATATTCAATAATATATTTGTAAGAAACTTACCAATGATTGTTATTTGATACATTTGTAAAAATGAAATGAACACGTTAATCTGTCTCAAAGTGTAGAGGTGAAATTATATTATGTTACGTCAAGTTAAAGTTCAACATAAGAATTTTTATGTATTCGCTTTTTTTTCTCGATCCGAATAGAAATGAATTTGTAAATAAACTAGATGACGAATAAAAAAGGATCAGCTCGATTGAAAAGGATAGAAATAATTATGATTTCTTTGCTTCTATATCAATGATGAGTAAATATACATTTGGATGGTGAAAGAAATGAATGAACAACTACATCCTCTTCTTTTTCTTCCTACTCTTGTGTGTCTCTCTCTCTAGAGAGAGCGACAGAGGAGAAGAAGAATAAAGAAAACAGACAAATCTATTACGTTATGTACAGAACTCTTTAATAACATTTTTACATTTAAAGTCATTTTGCCAAGATGGTTTAATAATTGTCTCTTGAGCTTTAAATCTTGAACAGATGATTTGCGCATAATTGTTAAGAACAATCCTATCTTAATTTGCTCAAAAATGTTCATTGGATTGATCTCCTAAGGCAATGTTTGATTTGATTTCGAGAAAGAAGTGTTAGAATTATTAACCTTTAAATTTACTCTTTTCTTTCTACATATTTCTATTCATTTATTTGACATATATATCTTCATCAGAAACTTTTCATATTTATTTTACACCTTAATATAAAAAAACCAAGAAGTTTATTACATATAGGAGTGATTAAGTCACCTATGTACATCACAGTATGTGGCTTCATTATTTTTTCTATAACAAAAAAAAAAAAAATGAAGGAAAGCCATTCTTAGTCTATATAACTTTTAATCATAGTCTGTACAATTGTTTCAACTCTTTTTTTCTTCTATTATCATCATCATATCCGGATTCGTCTTTTCTTTTTATACTTATGTTGACGCCGGCACATATAAAGTGATTGAGATGATGTCACTTCATAATAAAATCTATTACTTCTATGTATCTTATTAAAGTAAAGACGAAGAAGAAGAAGAAGAAGATTACAATGAGTAAATGATGGATGTTTATTTATGTTTATCAAGAGTATTGAGATGATATTACGTCAATTTTCTTTTTTTTTATTTGTTTATTTTTTCATCATGATCTTGATATATAAATTGATGTGAAGGACAGCACTGTGTATCATTCAGAAGAATAGCTTTGTTATAATAGATGAATATCAATTAGATATATTGTATACGATATATATGTATAATGTGATTTTATCAGTCTCTTTTCTACATTAATATTCAATACTAGAGATTTGTTTAACATGAATGTATACTATCAAATAGTTGTTTCTTTTCTTCTTTTTTTATTTGATTAGTAATAAGATTATGTTTGATGTAATATTATATATTATGATAGATGTCAAAGTTCAATGTTTACTCCACTGAGACTTTGTAATAATAGGAGATCTGCATAAAATCAAATCGAATGATAGTGATCATCAACTGCAAAAATAATTGAACATGCAATGTCTAGTGCTCATTTATCAAAGAATATGTTTATACCCAGTCAATATTTCGATACTCGATTTTGAATCGAGAGTATTTAGTTTATCTTTTACTAATAAACTATTTACACATATATGTATATATATACTATGGTTGAAACTATAAAAAACGTATGAATCATGCATAAACAGATTATTTGAAAGACAAATGAGTTAAAAATAAGAATTGTCATTAAATAACATTTTATGTAGTTTGTTGAAGATTTAATTGTTGTTTAAATTGATGAACAAGACGAGCTAAATGATCATTACGTTCACGTAAATATCGAATAAGATCTCCTTGTTTTTCAAGAACATTTTCTGTATATGTTTCATCACTAGAGAAAAAAACGTTTTTTTTCTTACTATAAATAATTAAATTACGAAAAACATACCGATAACCAATTTCATTAGCTGATGTTTGTGATGTAACAAAAGTTGAAAGTATATCATCTTGTCTTGCATCTGGATATGCACGTTCTTTATTAAATTTAATAGTAATAACTTAGAAAAAAAAAAGAAAAACATATCAATTATGAAATACAATATAAAAAATTCTTACCAAGATACCATAGAAGTACAATTAAGGTAATTAGTACTTCAATAGTCGAAAGAATTGCAAGACAATGCCATGGTTGAAATGGTAATATCGATGTTTGATAATCTTCAAGTAATTTAATCATAGCAACAAGAATTGCATTACCTGTTGAGATAATAATTAAAGGTGTACGTCTTAAATTCCTTGTTCGACGATAAAATTCAAGATAACCATTACGTCGAGATAAATCTTGATGATAGTGATATAAACTAAATAAAAACAATTATAATTAATACTTCAGCTTAAAAATATTTTATCTTTATATCATACCGATCAAATGCAACAGTGACAATATAAGCACCAGCATGTATATATAATGAAATATTGTATGGTGAATGATAACGACATATTTCCGTTTCTATTTTTCTATCGTAACATAAAAATGGAAATAGTACAATGACCGTTTCAAATGCAATCTAATAAAAAAATTTCTTATAAATTTAAATTTAAATTTGTTCCAGTTACCACAAATAAAATATGAATTATAATAAAAGCAGTTGTTCGTATTCGTCGATATTGTTGTTCTGTAGTTGCAATAAGAGGAATATCCTCTTGTATAACATCTTCATTTATATTGATCAATCGATCATCAAATGACATTCCCTTGATAGAGAAATGTTTAGAGACGAAGAAGAAAAAAAAAATTAATTTAACATACTCCTCCGCTTCGTCCATGTTGTGTATTTAAACTAACCATCTAAAAAAGAGAGACAAAAGAAAACAAAACAAGTACTCTAGTATAAGAAGGAATATTATATAGTCTAAAGAAAATTATCACCAGCCTGAACCCCAAGAATCATCTGTTTTCTTTTCCATTTCTTTTAAAGGTGGATCATTATATGGATGTTGTTCAACATATTCAGCAACCGTTCCGTTCCATTTTAATAAACCCTCTAACCATGTTTTTAATTCACCATCTGTATTTAAAACATTATCTTCATATACTTTTAGATTATGATTATCATCATATAATTCAAATAATTTCCATGAACGTGGATGTATAGCTGTATACTGTGGATTATCACGTACTTTTAATTTATTATCATCAATTAATAATGTATGATCACGTAAATCAGTATTTTTTGGTTGATTCATTAACCATCGTTCATTTATATCGACTGTTTCCCAAACAGATGATAAACGTTTATAAAATGACCTAGCTTTTTTT